GACCTCAGTGTTTGCAAGAACTGGCGTGGAATCACTCTCCTGTCCACCCCAAGTAAAATATTAAGCCGCATCATCCTGGAGAGGCTTAAAGATGCACTGGATTCAAAACTACGGCCGGAACAGGCAGGCACTCTTCAGGAAGTACAAATCATGTTCGGACCAAATTGCAACGTTTCGCATCATCATAGAACAGAGCATAGAATGGCAATCAGCTCTCTACCTCAACTTTATCGACTTCGAGAAGGCCTTTGACAGCGTCGACTGAGAAGTAATTTGGAAACTGCTTCAATACTACGGAGTACCGCAAACCTTTATCCGCCTCATTCAACAACTATATGAAGATGCCACATGCCAAGTAATTCACAATGGAAAGCTCAGTGATACTTTTGAAGTGAAGACAGGAGTGAAACAAGGCTGCTGCCTACTATCACGCATGATATTCCTGATTGTGGTCGACTGGATCATGCAGCAAACAGTAGGCAGCGAGAAGAGGGGGATACGCTGGACGGCGGAAAAGAACCTAGAAGACTTGGATTTCGCCGATGACTTGTGCCTAATGTCACATAAACTTGAAGATCTGCAGGCAAAAACTAACAAGTTGATAGAAGAGGCAGCTAAGACGGGACTTCAGGTGAATATAGAGAAGACAGAAGTGATGAAGATACCGCACCACCACCATCAACAACAACAACAACAAACTCCAATCACCGTCAACGGGAGAAACTTGAAGGAAGTAACCTCCTTCACTTATCTAGGAAGCACTGTTTCAACTACAGGCGGGACGGACGAGGACGTCAAAGTCAGAATCGGAAAAGCAAGACAGGCGTTCATTAACCTGAAACAAGTGTGGAGATCTTCTGCACTGAGCATGTGGAACAAGATACGGATTTTCAACACCAACGTCAGTCAAGTCAGTGCTCTTGTATGGTTGAGAGACTTGGCGCGTCACGAAAGGCATTTCAATAAACTACAGACATTCATCAACAACTGCTTACGCTCGCTGCTGAAGATCAGATGGCCAGAAAGAATAAGCAACAAGGAACTCTGGGAACGAACCAACCAAGAACCTATCACGCAACAAATATGCAGGAAGAAGTGGAGATGGATTGGCCATGCACTGAGAAGGCCGACGGAGGACATCACGCGTCAGGCCCTCGAGTGGACTCCCCAGGGGAAGCGACGAGTTGGACGTCCCAGCTGAGGGTGACATGGAGGAGATCGTGCGAGGAGGAAATGAGAGGTTATGGGCTGTCGTGGAATCAGGTTCAAAAGATCTCAGAGAACAGAGGTCACTGGAGGCGTGCTACTGAAGCCCTATGTTCCACTAGGAACCCAAGGGACTAAATGATAATAAATTGCACATAAATACACTAGCCATGGACTAGTTAAGCTTTATAGTAGTAGTTTGTAGGCTGTCACATAAGTACGATATATCACCTGTGTATTCATTATTTAGTAATCTTTCGCCGTATAGAGTTGAATACAATGACAATGCATCTTTATCCTTGTTGTTTTGAGAATCCCATTGTTGGTGTGGCTGATCGCTAGATCTCACTATTTGCAGCTAAATATTTTGAACCTTATGCGCTGTCAGTATCAACATGAGACCTGATATTACTGTAAATGGTCAAAGCTGTCCCACTTGATACCAGCATATCGAGGTACGAAGTGCCGAAATGGAAGATAGAGAAGTAAAAAAAAAATAATCATAGTCAATAGAAAGTTCTCGAAAGAGAAAGGAAAAGAATAGTACAACTATGAAATTCAGTATGGTGAGTAAGATGAAAATAATATATGCGTAAATCTGCACCACAAATATCGACTTGGAGACATATCAACCAGTATGCAATCCTCAATCTTGGTTGCAGGTGGACAGAAACGGGGAATTCGACATCCACATACATAGCTCAGACCGAGAGTCAGAGACATTGACTGATAACCTGTTTTATTATGATCTCCTCTAATATTTTTCTGGTCCGACTTTCTGTAACAATGACTGGGTATGCGTCATACATGACTCAACCATCTGAGTCAGTGAAGTTTTACGACCTCATAAAATAACTTTCTTTTCTTAGCTAAAAGTTCACGCCTGACTGCTAACTTACCAACGTGGTGGCAGCACTGCACACCACCCGTGTTGTGAAGGCCACATTGGTTGAAAAAAAGACAATTCAGCTAAGAAAAGGCTTTTTTTAAAGGAATCATTTTCAGAAGCTGTACAATCGTGTTTATGGCTAAAATAAAATTATATGCTCACTAATAGCCAGTGGGTCAGTAAAAGTCATCAAAAGCTGTCAATCGAGTTGCCGGGTGATTACGATTGAAAGGTCAGCACTAGGTTACCAATAATTGTCTATAAGATTTAAAAAAATAAACAAATAAAATGTCCTGGGAAGTTTATGACGAAAACTAGAGACTCAAAGTATCTGTTTTGAACGCAGAGTTCAGACTTGAAAAGAAGAATTGCCGAGGCTTTTGCTGTGTTCATTTGTGAATCTCCACTGCCCTCTAAATGTTTGGTTTTACATTATAAATGACTGAAGAAGCTTCTGGTGTAGCAGATTAACCGGAGTTAACTAGATGCTTAAGAAGAGCGCTGTTAGTTGCCTTGCACTCTCCTTTAGGTGTTTCTGGGTAAAACACGCTCTGTAATCCTACAAACAACTTTCGGTGACCCTCCAGCTATAATCACCATTTGACATGATTAGCAATTTTTGATGACCCATTAGCTATTGATGGACATATATTTTTAATGTAGTGATAAATACGGCTTTACAGCTTCTGGAAAGAAAAGTTTCTTCGCTGGGTTGTCTTTTGCTGTTGGCTGAACACCTGAAACCCTCGCATGTCCTCTACCTTCGGTGGTCATGTTTTAAAACCAAGTAGTAGAACAGAGTTAACTGCATCAGAATGCATTTGGACTTTAAAAGGTAACTAAATATCAAGCTTGAGTGAGTTGGCGAAAACTAAAAGAGATTTTTCTATCCATGCAAAGGTTCTGTCGGTCGCTTAGCCCACTAGGGCTGGTTTCACTTCTTCGATAAGTTAAGTGGTCACCACGATCAGCCACTTCACCCTCTACTATCAGTATCAAAAACTAGACCTGAAGCAATTATTTGGATTCGAATGGTGAGAAACGCATCCTCGAATTGCTACTCAACGTGTCCAGTTAACTCTACATTTTGTCAGCTTCTTCACCTAACAGGAGTATGTCATCCGCGGACTCAAGGTCTTCTAAGGAGCATCTTATGATAAGGTCAATCCGTTTGAAGTCAAATGATGACAAGCCCTCCATAAGAACGTCTATGCGAAAGCCAAATGAAAACGAAGGGAGTGAACATCTTTGATGGACGCTACTCGACGTGTGCAACTCACCTTATACCTCGCCATAAGCCCTAACACATTAACATGTGTTCGGATACAGTCTTCAACCCGGTGACATACTTACTTGCTACTCCTCTCAATGAGCGGCACTGCAGAAGTTCCAAGTTCAAGATGGGAAAGATAGCTAGTGTCAAGCGATGGTGTGTTTGTCGAGATCTGATCGATAAACTCATGAACAGATCTGAAACCTAACTATCTTTCTCGGCTTTCCTGTTCCCGAGCTCAACTTAGGTATGTAATGGTAACAGATCTTATGATTTTAGACATGTTCGTCAGACTGATTTCTCTGTGAATATTACCGGAAGTTATCTCTTGAATACTGAAACAATCAATAATTGAAACCAATCAGAAGCGATCACGTCTGATTCTCATCATTAGATAACTACTTACTTATTCTAACCAATAATTGCTCATCAACCCCTTCAAACACCTCTTATACTAATCCATCGAGACCCTCTACACTTTCTCATGCGCAAACAATGCAAATTTTAGATGAAAACCTCACCTGCGTACGAAAATGGTGTAAAACCATTTCAATATATCCAAACCATAATACTTAGGTAATCTAGTGCCAGTTATATCAGAATGTGATTATTTTTCCTTCCTGTAAAAATGTGATTGTTTATTATGACTAGCAGTATATTAATGATGGATCATGGCTAGCAGTAGAACCCAGGACGCGCATCTCGTTCCATTTGGGAATCGTCAGCTGGATATACCTGCTTCCTAGTGAGTGATGTTGTTCTCACCGGGATTCGGACTCGGGAGCGACCGCTTCAAACGCCAGCGCGTGACCCACTACACCACCGAGCCTCGATAGTCACTTCTTGTGCTACGGGTATAGTTTTAGTATAATTGTTTTTATATCATACCATCGATGACTGGACCAAATTGATAGGTCTCTATTGGCATATCGGCTCCTGTATGGATGCCGTGATATTGCCAGAGTTCTAATTATGTTAATCATGGATCGTGGCTAGCAGTGGGACAACACCACTCACTGGGAAGCAGATACATCCGGCTGACGAGTTCCAAATAGGCCGAAATGCGCATCCTGGATTCCACTGCTAGCCACAATACATCATTAATATAATTAGAACGCTGGCAATATCGAGGCGTCCGCACAGGAGCCTATATGCCAAAGGAGACCGGTCAATTCGGTCCAATCAACGACGGTATGATATAAAAACAGTTATACTTTAGCAGTATATGCTGTTGTGTGAAAGAGATCTTCACTTGACAGGTGATAACTCGAAGTATATACTTTCTTAACTTGTATACTTTAAATATGTTGTCCTCTAAGGTGCTGACCTAATCATATTTTAAAGTTATTAACAAAAAAGAAATAATGAACACTATGTGATGCGATACCTTGAAGAGGAAAATAGTTAAGTTTTGTTACCAACTCTTGTTTTGTTTTCACCTCTTAAAAATCGTTCTCTAAATCACATTACTGTATGGTTGAAGATATCAGGTATCAGCTACCATCTAGTAGTAACCTTTTAATTGTATCCAGTTAGTCAATAGTGAGATTAACATGAACCCCAGTGAGATTACGAACACCGTAAAAATATATCCTGTCGTTTCACAATACAGAAAAATATGAAAATGCCTGATTTAAAATTGCAAAAGTATTTCATTTAAATATGAAATGTGAACAAAGCTACATTATTCACACTTATCAATTCACCGGACAGCAAAACTAAGGAAAATGTAAAATATTAAAGTAGCAAAACTGTTTAACACTAAAAAAAATGGTTCCATATAAGGAAAAGAAGATATCAACGAAAAAGTTACAGAAATGTCTCACTCGCTGGCATGCTTAACGGAATATGAATAAGGATGTATTACTTTGTTTACCGTTCGTGTATTCAAGATGATTATTAACTAACTACATACACCAAGCATCTTGTATCAATTGTTTAAATGTATCACAACCATCATCTGCTTCTTGATCCATAAAATAGTTTTGAGCACATTCACTCGAAGGGAGCAATGAAAACAAATCCACATAAGTTGCATCTGATTTCAGTCGATCCAAGGGACATTCTCCTAATGCAATGGAAACAGCCTGATAATAATTTTCAAATTCTGTGTATTCTAAACGATTTGGAGTATTGGTGGTTCTTTCAAAAATACTTAGAAGATCCAACTGCGAATGTGCTATATCAGAGCCTAGAATGAATTCAGTAGATAGACGGAAGAATACGTAAGTACTTCTAGCGATTCACACTGATTATATATATATATATATATATATATATATATATATATATATATATATATATATATATATATATATATATGAACAATGTCCTTCAAATTTCACTTTTGTCGGCCGCTCAACTCCTCGAAAAATAGAAAAAGGTAGTAAGATAATAGACCTATCGCAGCGTCAAAATATGTTTTAAATACAAAGTTTTATATATTTACTATGTCTTAGGCTATTTCCAGGCTCTTTGGGAAGAACACTTTACTGATTCTGTCTTTTTAACCAATCTAATGCTTCCACGAATTACTGCATGCCTTTTCTGGAAACTTCCAAACAAAATAGTTGATCGTGCAAGCCTTCAGAATCAGTCCGAACGTCACTGTTCATATAAGACGTTTCGGAAGAGAATTCCTTGTGTATATTCCCCATATATACATGAAATCTCACTAGTGTTGACGCGAAACTATACATATAACTGTAGAACCTTAAGGAGTTACCGGGAAAATTTATTATTTGTCCATTCACATGTTTTCCTTGAAGGAAATGGAGAGTCCTAATGCACACCATATCAACAATGAATCTGAATATATTTGACTATAAACGGAAAATGAGGAAGAGAATACTACTTGTCATTTCATAGGTAAATAATCATATTTCCCAACAAGACCTTAGTCGAGTAGCCAACGTAATATGCATGTTAGTAATAGCTACTTGGAAACTTTTAGCAATACAGCTTAAAAATCTTTCATTAGGTTTAGCTATCAGTGGATTTTTTAATCGCGTTTGACTTTACAAAGCCTACCCAACTAAACGTTTGCTTAATCGTTCTATTTCTTTCTGCTTGTTTTCCTTAACAACGCTTGTTGTTATTTGATAAAATTCAGGTTTCTGTATATCTACAGTAGGTTCTCAAATGCATGAGCTAAACACATCATTTTTTGGTAATGTTAAAATACTGTGAATAAAGTAATTTTCCAAAGAAAACAGAAAAATGAGAACGTTTCTAACAGAAAGATTTAAGAAAATTACCCAGCTGATACACAGCCCATTTGGGAGCATTATAAAATCGTTTAATATCAAGGAGTTTGATATGACCAAACCGATTTGGATCCATCTTTAGAAATACCTATGAAATTAAATTAAAATGTAGAAAAGTATCTGCTTAGAGAAACAATATACAAAAAATGTTTTGTGTTTAAGACACACTTAAAATTCAGTAGTAGTGCTGATAACAAATGATAAATGAAACAACGCAGAACGTCTTCACGAAGCACAAGAAAGCCAGATTTTGAAATTTGCAAAATCATTAGGAAATGATCCAGGAAAATAGGAAGAGATTGATAACGATACCAACTTGTTTTAGATCAGAACAATCTCCGGAGCATTTATTAGGATTGTGATCACACTTCACTTTGTGTAAAACACTTATCTGGGTTATAACAAACATCGAAATCGCCACAATGATCGCGCCTATGTCAGCATTTGAGGTGTACGTATATGAGTTAAACTATTTTAAGTGTATTTACTGTTACATCCATCCCACCAGGACCAAATAACTTGGTGTCTCGTTTATTCAAGAAAAAAGCAATAAGTTGAGACACACCAGACACAAACTTGTTATTCAGAAAAGTTATCACCACAAATACTTTGGCAGCAAGTTAATAAGAATTAAATGAAAGCCGTTAGAGCATAAAATTTCTACTTACTAAGTCTAAGGTATTTATGACTGTACAAAAATCCTATAAAAGCTTAAAAAAGGCTGAGTTGCGACAATCTAGTTAAAATTCATCTAACCCGTGGAACATATAATCATATATAAAACATATAATCACACACTACAAATTCCTCACATGACGGATTTGCAAAACATACAAACGGCGAAAAAGTGATCAGCGTAATCCATGACACCAAAAGCGACTTAAATTCCTTGAATAGAAGTATGCTTTTCAAGCATCAATTTAAAGATAACCCTCTGACTGACACACTGACATCTTAAAATACCTCAAAAGAAGTGCAGGCACATCGCCACAAATGTTTCTTTTCACCTATCTCAAATTTGGTTCAGGAAATGTTGTCGAATTTTAGTTGATTCCTTATTGCTAGTCCAAGACCTTTTGACTCCTGCTAAGTGCTCAGTATCATTCAAACATGATCACATACAAGATAATCGAATCCTGTGAAATGAGTAGATGATTAGCGTTTGCAGATTACCTGAATTCTATTCCTAACCACAGAATAATTAGGAAGTTTATGTCTGACAGTGTTGCGAGGATAGTTGGCACCTTCGGCTGTCCATACCATGGAAGGTTACTTCTGTTTGAGTTACCTTAAAGGTAAATTGGATTGGTAATAGTGGTACGGGGCCTCAAAGGCCGGTCAAACAAAGCCATTTTGGAAGTTCAAAGTTCTTTTGTTTCCAATCCAGCTGTAAACTCATACTGCCAGCACCAGAGGACTTTTGGGCAAGGGAGAGTGTGTTATTTTAGGGCAAACATTTTCTAGTGCCCCTCTTCCACAGGAAAGGCAACATCACCATGACACTACTGGTCATCTGCGAAAAACAACTTACTACTGTTACACTCTTGTCCTGTCTCTAGTACACCTTACCCACTAACCCTCCATTAAAGCGTAGGAATTTACGCAGATTTCCCTCTCAAGACGATCAAGCCGACATCTCTTGTACAACAGAACCTCAAAACAAGTGCCCCACCAGCATAGTTTGCTGGGTAATAGTGATGTGCAAACCTGATCACTACATAGAAGTAGCAATTATCGATAGCAACTATCACAAACTGACAGAAGTAGGTAGATATGGATGATTGGATTTTAAACCATCGGCGGAATGGTAAACCGTTCACCATGCAAATTGAGGGCCCTTAGCTCAATTTTCCTAAAGATGATGGGTGCACATTACTGAAGAGTCCCACTGTTCTGTGCTCCCAGAACTTCAATGTTTTCGCATCTGATGTCAATGCATGATGATAAAAGACGTACTTTTCTATCACCTCTTTGCTACATACTTCAGGAGGGTGACTTAAGATGATATCAGATAAAACGTAAAACTGAAAACTGTGGAACAGTTTTACATAAAACAATGAGACTAGCTTTTGAAAATATGAATTGTGACTTGCTTGTATTATTACTGGACTTTTATGTGAACTTTCTTTAATTTTATTTTCTAAATGGTACAGTTAACTAGAATGGTCTTAATCTATATAACGCATAGAAGAGATTGAAAAATGAATAATTTGCATTTGGGTTGTATGTTTCCGAATTCACCACAGTTCGTACGAAAAAATTCCAAGTGCAATGAACTTAGCAGTAGTTATTAGCTAAAACATTTCATTGCTTATGTGTTTTTCTCTTGGTTGCAAACAATCGTCCAAGATTGATTATGAATAGTCTTCATATCAAACCTACGATGTATCACCAAGTAGTCTAGAAATGACACACTGCTAGAGCTTAAGATTTGACGACTGATGTGACGACAAAATCTTTCACGTGCAAAATTTTCCAACTTTCTGTGTCTAAATTAATAATGTGGCACTCCAGTATCATAATTACGAAAACTAAATGACAGCAAAATCTTACTAGCAACTTATTACTCTGAATTAATTGATAAGGCGCCTCTCAAAAGGTTTTCTTTATTTTCAGACAAACAGATCAACGTAGAAACGCACAAAAGTGTTATGATGATAAAATACTTAATTCGTTGTTAGTAGTTGAATTTCATTTATTAATCAACCAAACTGAAAGTTGAGTTCCTAGCTCACTTGATTGATTCGAATTTCGACTAGTTATACTTGCCTGTTAAGACATATTGGTTTGAATATTTTGTCAAAAATAGACTCTTTCAATGGTCCTATTCAAGCATACTTCTACGAAAAAGATGTAGATATTTAATAATGTCACAATAAACGTAGAGTGTCAACATTTCTGCAGTTTTTCTGCTTATATTAGACTAAGATCCGATATTACTACATAGCGCAACTTACTTTCAAGAAGAAAGTAAGTTTTCGTTTACCACATTTGGATCCGATTGTCGAACAAGTGAACAGAACTTTTAAAGGAATATCTACTCACGTGTACAAACACTACACTATTTCAAAGATAAAATCATGATACTGAAAACTCGACATTATTTTCTAACCATTAAACATGTCAGTAATATATCAAACACCAGAAATTAATGCTAGTAACAAAGATGAATACTGACTGGAAATGACTTATGTTCATGAAAATATTTACCAGTGCATCAATCATGACCAACACTTATTGAGTTTGAACAAATAGCTCTATCCAGATACTCATACAAATCTTCATGGACGCGTTTGGTAAGCACAATTAATATATTTATTCGGTAGCGAAAAGTGAGTAACTACTTACTTTCCGTACAAGGGTACGATGAACTTCAGGTAATTCACCAAATACAAGCGAGATATAATCAGTAAAATGTGGAATTCCATTAAAACCTGAATAAGCTTCTAATGCCTCCCATAATAAATCCATATTTTCCTGCTGAAAGAAGAAGAATAATCCTTTACACAGTAATCTAATCAGGCAGTTTATCAGTTGGACAACAATTTCAGATACGAAATAAGTAGACAAAACTTATTATATGAATGAAAGTTACCTCAGTGGATGTAGACTTCCATCTTCATCAAATTACACCTCAAATCAATCAAGACTGTTTGCCCAGAGTAAGTTTTACCCACATGGTGACCCCGCCAACCATAGGTAATGCAAAGAGAACAATACGGAAAAAATATATCAAGATGTTCAAAATTCCTCAAGCATTAAGGTTAAATGTGAGCATAAATTAGGGGAGACTGAATCACTGTGCAGTACAGTCTGTCCTTTAAATGCATTTTGTTTTCATGCCAGTACCATGCAAACGTCAACCAAGCCTTCTGTATCTGGGTCAAGATTTCAATGACGAAAAATATATTGGGGCTGGTAAGACAAAGGAAACGATTGGGACCCTCAACAAACTTTCTCCGTATTGTTCAACGAAGCAATAAATGCAGATAGTTATGAATAAACATTTTGCAATTGCAAGATGAATAAAGTATCCTAAGCATTCTCGAAGTTGGTAAATTTCATTTCCACTGAATTTGAAATCCCAAGGTAGTATTCATCACAAACCGACATCAGTTGTAGGACTGTTGAAGACCTTGGCGCACTGGAGATCTGTCTAGTCCTAGTATGGGACTCCTCAGAAGTGTGCACCCTGGCTGGGTCATCGATCACCATGATTACTAAGAACAGTGGCTAGACACCCTTCAATAGTGGACTCAGTCTCTAATCCTTGAATATTTTACCGGGGTACATTTTCGGAAGATTTGAACTCGTAACTTGACAAATGAGAGTAAGGATTCCCGTGTTGGTACAATATTCTTTATGTTAACCTTAGGAATGTCCCGGTAGCAATATTTTCAGTGCTAACCAAAAAAGTTGAGAACCAAGTATTAGGAAAAGTCTGACTAACTTAATGTTTACGAAAATAACACCAAATCAAATCGTAAGGAATAACTCGTCAAAAACTTGACAAGATAAATACTAGGCCAAACATTTGTCCCGAACTACATCGGACCAAGATTTCATAGACTTCACTTTTGCACGTAGTAGCGTGAGTAGTCATAATGACTGGCTCAAATCGATTAGTGAGATTTAAAATTTACAAAATGACTTGAAAAAGAGTTTTCGTGCAACTCTGAGTGCAGAGTATTTGCAGTATGTACGTGACTTTGAAATACACCATTTCTGGTAAATGTATTGGTTAGTTAGCTTATAAGAACCCATCAAAAACGAGGACTCAAGATGAAAGCTTATGAAACAGAAAGGAGAAACCAAAATTCATAGAAAGTCATAAGAAAACGGGGTAAAACAAGATGTGATACGGTGATTAGGATAAAGATGATCTTTGGATGTGCCTGCAACACATCTGTGGATTATGAATCACCTTACAGAGTCATAGAACATTGATTTCACTTATCAAGCGGACACCAACCGTGTAATCTATGTTTCGCGATAGATTATTCCAGTAAACCATCCTCTAATTTAGATAGAAAAACCTCCGGTTTAGTGGAATCTAGTGGCAAGTCTACTGTGACTCCATCCACTTGTCTGTACAGCTTACTGTTGTATTTAGAGTTAACATCCATGGTACATTTGGGCGATAATTTCTGGGGACATCTACTGGAATTCTAACACTTATTGACTTTTCTTTCAACTAATCACACATATATCTGACCGTCTCTACGAAAGGAACATTGATGAATATAAATGTTTTGTCCATGATTTTATCATCTTTCATTCCGTTCATAAATTCATGTATGTTTCACACTATGTCTCATTAGCAGACTGTGTGAAAGTCGTAGAATAGTGACCATCCATTTGATTAAAGCTTGGTAAAGAGAATTTCGCATACTAAGAATTGGTATTAACGCTAATCCTGGTTTAAGTATCATAGGCAGGCCATACAGTCTCGGTGAGTTCCCATTGGTTACTATCAATATATGGATGATGTCTCCATCTTATGCAAAAACATAAGCAGGTCAAAGATACTTAGCAAATTTAGTACACCACACCCAGCGATGAAATTTACATGTGAAGAAAAGTCGGAAGGCAAAATAGCTTTTCTTGATATTTTCTCTCAAGACAGACGGATGAGGCGATAAATAAGTTGTTTAGGAAAAGTAAGTGGACGGGACAATGCACGCATTTCCTTAGCTTCGTCCCCCTTCAGTAGAAGAAAAATTGGTGAAGATTCCAAGTTATGAAGAAAAAAACGTTTGAAAGATACAAATGAAGATGGATTTATAGTTTTTACGCAACACACTAACTGAAAATGGCTATCCTGATTAATACATAAAAAATATTGTTACAGAAATACCAAGATAAGACACTCTATAATGGCTGTCAGAAAACGCCGATGCATTCGGATACAATTTAGAGGTGATGTGCTTAGCAAGATATCAATTCGTAAAGTACGCAGATAAAATGAAAGACTTTTGATACTGGTAAATTACAAATTACGTTTTCCATACGTACATTGGCGACCCCGAAACTAAGAGATGAATTGTCTAGTCTGTCCAATTCCTGTCATGTTTATTGGTTTGACTCCTACTGTAGAGCGAGTTACGTCAGCCACCACTCTAGGAATTTAATTTTCATGCTCGTGAACGCCTCCAAGCGTGGTTAAGCAAAACTGTAATAAAGACTACGGAGTATGGGATACTAGCACACTTAGTTCACACGAACCGTCTGGAAGATATGAATAGATCATTTAGATGTTTTACCAGGTTCCCACTAAGTTGCTAACTGATACCTGGCTCCGAATCCTTCAAACTGCAGAAACAGTAGCAATCGGGACTAAACAACTTAAGTTGTGTTCAAAAAAAGCAGGTGTTGCAGCTAAAACTACCCTAGTTTTCTTTGGAATTAATGAATTCTCAAGCGTCCTCCCCATATAACCTAGTTTCCAACTTTCACATTGTAGATATCCTCTTATCCATCTAATCCAAAATAATTTTATTACATTCTCCAAGCCTATTTTGTACACTAACAAACTGTTCACAAATCCTAAAGACGTACTTTGTCTACTTCTGATAATCTGAACCATATTAGACCATTTTCTAATATTTTGCGAACTGATTTTTGATCCATGACGAGTTCATTCTGTTTTGAAATATTATTGGTAGCAGAAGCAGTAGTATTATTTTGACGATTTTCTTGTGACTTTATATACTGTTTAATATCTTTCATTGCATTTCGATAATGTAAACCCAAATTCAAATAAGCTTCAACTGGACTACTACGTTTCCGTAAATCCTGACGCCATAAACCTGTAAATGCACACATGGACATATTACATGAAATTAAAACATAACATTTTGAAAGATAAAGTTGATAAGTAGATAATTTGAACTATGTTCAAATGGACACAAATAATTCAACTGCAAACTGAACCAGCTTGTAGAAACAACTTACCTTCAAAGATAATCGTCTAAAAATTACATTATAGTTATAAAAATACTTTCAGGTGAGTGACTTCAGAGGTTTTACGTATCAGTTAAGCTGTCTCGAAGGTAATGATGATCAGTTGAAGGAGAATGAGAGTGAAATCACTAAATCTCACAATCCAGATACTGGACACTCTTGCTGATCCACAGGTCTTCAGAGCCAGTAATACGGCTCTTCAAAAAGAATGATTTAATCTGGTCTCACTAAATTACCCACAAAAAGATTGTGTTTAACTGGTTTCAATTAAGTGTTTTTCGAACTCAGTCATACTTTTGAATCTCTAAAACCATCAGTAACACTTTAATTTCCTTTTGGGAGCAACTTTTCGTAGTGTGTAAAGCCAAAGCATGTCAACCGATAGCACTCGTGTACTATCCTTTTGGTTTCTTTTGATCATTACTAACTATATTTCCCTTTTCCTGTTAAAATTATTGTGTTTCTGCAGTCATAACAATAAATTCAACTTTGTCCCGCTCTGCAGCGCAGGATAACAATTTGAGGCCCAACAATAACATATCTAGTTTTCGGAAACTGCATTACACACTATATATAGAAGTACTCAATAATTACATTTACAACGACCCCCACCAGTTAGAACTCTAATGTCTTAGACGATGAATAAATGCTTTGTTACATAAGTGTACATATTAGAGGAAAGGAAAGACTGAATGAACAGTAAGCAAAAAGATCATAAAATTCTTCATTTCGACGAGGTTTGGTTTTCTCTTGAGTAAGTCACAAGACTGATTGGCCCTTAGTAAAAGATCCTACCAACATCAATTTTTGACATTTTGATGTGAATTATGTAGACCAAGCTGATAACAGATTTCTACCAAATCTGCTATATATTTTTTTATATGCATCGCACAGTAAGACAGGCTTGTTTACTGATGACGTTTCGAACACAACTTATTGTTCATAGTCATACCAAGGTCATGTGATCATGAGCAGTAAATCTTGCCCAAAACGTTGTTAGCAAATAATAGTGCACAACGATGTGATACATGCAAAAAATAACTATGATGGAGTTATACTCTATGAGAATTCATGGGTTCTGACATCAGTTACTTCCCTTATCGATAACATTATAAGATAAGAAACCATTGGTTAAGCTTAAACAGTACATTCAATTAAAGTGGTGTAGGAAGCTGCAATGTTTTATTGTTCACGATCTTTTAAGAATGAGGCGTTCATATCCCATTCTTCCTCAGAGTTTTATGCTCTACGGTGCTTTACGGTCCATTAATAAACACATTTATTAAACAAACATATTCTTCAGACTTATCAATTAAAAAATCGTATTGAGTTACTGAAATAAAACTTACACTGTAATTTAAACAACTGCATTAAATGTCGTGGTCTGACCAATAAACGTGCAACATGGAGTTTGGCAATAACAGAGAACCATTGATCTTCGGGTACTTTCTGTCGTGAAAACTCTGACTCACTAGAAAGATAAGGGAAATAAAGATGGTACCGAATAAGTAAAAATTTTAAATAGACACTACAAGATTTCAATCAAAGCCAATAATCCCCTCAACAACAACAACTATCTGAGGTCTATCAACTGAGTACCACAAAGTGGTCGTTATACTAAGTGATCTATCGTTAGTATGTATTGCATTCACAGAGGCATTTAACAGAAATACCTCTTTCCATAGGTGAATCTCATTTCGACATTTCTTTTGAAATTTAATCCTACCTTTCACCAAAGGCAAGAATGTTAATTTATTAACTTGCGCATCTAATATGTGGGAACATTTAAACTTGAAAAATATTAGTTCTGAATGTGTTAAATCTTTTGCATGCTTTAGTTGAGATCCGATAGACATTAAACAGTAGAATTAAGTTTTGTTTTTCCTCCAGAAAACCTGTGTTCTTCCAAAGGTCCGAACCTACATCACTGAGATCTGAAGAGAAAACTTTGTCAGCAAGCTATTCATATTATGACTGACTCTCAAGACATTTTTGAGATGAAAAAAACTCTGTATGGTTGCGAAGATGAGAATTTTTCGTGTAAACCTGATCGAAAATGTACAAATAAATATTAATTCTTTTGGATTTTTGTCTGACATGAGCACTCATATCACATGGGACAAAAACAACTGTTTTCGTTTTCTTTTCAGACGAGTAACTGGTTTCGATTGGCAGGCTTGATGATAGCTGCAAATATGATAGATCGTTTTTATCTTGGAATCACTTTCTCATCCACTTCTTCCATCTGATATTCTAGTGATAAGGATATTCTCAAACTGAACGTTTATCAAATTTTAGCATCAATCCAACAGTTGTGCACAAGTAGTTTTCATCTCATACATTCCATGGCTTTGACAAATTTGAACAAAGTAAGAACAAACATATGGACAGGAAAAAATGATGTCATTTAATGTCATCGATATTCATCAGTGGCATATATTCTAGAATCGCATACCCTGACCAAGATAAATGATAACTTACACATCATAAAATCGATAATTCTAGATCTAAAAGGAATTTCAAAGGAATACACATGCGAGGGGACAGGATCACCGAGGATCGAGGAAACAAGTTAGCCCTCAAATATTCAGTCAGTAAACATGAAAATGTGAGCAAAACACATGGGATAAAATGGAAAACGAAAGAAATAACAACAAACTATCATTTATCGTGTCCTAGACACAGGAATATAGGCTGCGTGCAGCCGAAGAATAACGGGTCAAATAAAATGATGTCATTTTATTCAGCTACTCTGTTTGTTAGTGCTTTGTTAAAATTTGGTTTCGATTTATTTTTTGATTTTGACTAAAAATGTAATTACCGACATATCTCTCAGATGTGCATTTTGATATGCTTGCAGAGAAAGCCTGTGTAATGAGGACTACGTACAAGGATGAATATAAATAGTATGTATAGAAACGTCTAAAGTGATAACGACTGGCTGGCGAAAAATCAAGTAAGAAGAAATAATGGTGAATGAAAATGTAAAGGAAAAGAATGGTGCGGCATAAGATGTATGGCAAGAAATTGTTTGCAAATCCATAACATACTGTTAGGTTCAGTGAATTTACCATTATACTTCGTGTTTTGTCAATAAACAATATCAGCTGCACCATCGAACTTCCCTTCATGGTGACGTATATTTCTGACTAAATTCACCTTCGTTCAATAAAGTTTCTTTAAGCACCAAGCAATCTACCTGCAATATCCTGTTTGCGTGCTTAAACGCTGCCACAAAGCTTTACTATGCATACACTCTTTAGTGAGGAGAATGCAGAAAAAAACATCAATATGTACAGCGTTATTATACTTGCATGCCTAGAATATTGTAACGAAACATGATGCACCATTTAATTCCATTTCAGCTTATTTGTCAGATATATCACACAGTGAAACAGAATCAAATCTGTTATCTTATATTTAGTGATGACCGCTTAAATCTGCAATGCAGCACTTGGTAACAGAAGTACACATAACTGCATAGATTAATTTCCTATTTTGTGTTTCATTAAAATGAACTTACATTGCCTTACGCTTAGCTGATCGATCTACTCCAGTTATAAGAATACGAAGAACATTTCCAGTATAGTGTAGAAATTTTCTTAATGGAGTAGGTGCTTTGTATTCATCTGAATAGCGGACAAATAATATTGCACCAGGAAATAAATCGACTTCTGGTAAATATGTCTGACCGCATCTAGACCCCCAGACACAATGATACATGGACCTCCGAAGAAATGGTAATGGTTTGGAACTAATTGGTTATTAATGAAAAACCAAACGATATGCATAATGAAATAAATTCCTCATCACATAGAGGATAGTTAAACAAAAAAATCATTATAAACAACTAAGAAAACCTGATTAGTTTGATCACATTTGTCATCAGTGAAGTTCAATAATAATAATCGCTTGACTATCAACGCAGTGATAAAACAGATACTTAGATCCCTACTCCATCCCAACGGAAACTGATGAAAATATTTTCATTGATCAATCTATTCGTAATCTTTGAACATAGGAATCGTAATGAGATGAAAAACCACTAGCTGTATTTTTGATGAAGGCGCGAAATTTTGGTTAATGAATACTTAAAGCAATCAATAACGTGAACTATCCTCTTTATTTTACTAAGATAATAAGTGTACAAAGAGTTACGATCGAATCCATGATTTCAGCAGCTTGAGTGATAGAACCGGTTCTTTCCTATATATACCCCTAGTGATGTTTCTTCTGTAGAACAACCATAGTTATTTGTGCAGCAATATTCTAACTGAAAGCATTAACAAACACAAAGGGATGCCCCGATTAGACTGATTTTTGTGAATGACTTGAATCCACTGAGTCAAGGAAGATTTATCACTGATGTGTGGACTCAGCGGGTAACACCTTTTCTGCCTTGCTAACTTGAGTGATTAATTACAGTTTAACCTTCACTCCAACAGAGAAATTCTACAGATCAATTTATGAACTACTACTAGATAAAATCCAGTTTGAAATTTCTCATTCAATCTCAAATGCCAGTAATACGTATATCTCTGACGCTTTAAAAATACTAATCAGAAAGTTGTTCAAAGAGGAAAGAGTCAAAAATTTTGAAACCTACTGAACAATATCTTCGAATAAATACACTTCAAGAAAAGTGAAACCGAAATATACTAGGTAACGAAAATCAGAAGCGATATTGAATGCCATACGAAAAACCTAACCTCACTCCAGTTTTATGATCTTCATATAATGCCCAAGTGGAATCACTTGGAAAACCTATTCCAATAAAACTGCGTAGTGCAAACGATGATATGGAATTCGTCCAGTCCATATCACTGGCGTATTTTGATTGTTTTTCTTCTTGTATAATATCAGATGTATCAAACACAAGTAAACGTGCAGTAAACCATATACGATTATTTAGATTATGTTGTACATCACCACCAGAGGATAAATGATCCACACTTTGTTTACTTGGTCTGTCGACAAGATAAAAAGAAAATAAATGCATTCAACCAAAGCAAGTTATACAAATAACACGTATAATCATTAACAATCATTAAAAATTTCAAAACCCTATTGTACTTTAAGTCACCTATAACATCATAATATTTGAATACTTTTTCGTAAGAGACTGTATGCTAACTAAGTTTGTAGGTTAGGTTGAAATACATAAAAAAGAGTTAATAACTAATGATTACCCTCTACTGTTCATTAGGACATCCGTACGAACATATAAGAAACAAGATGATAACAGCAATACGAATAAGAATGATTGCAACAGTACGAGTAGAAATAAGTTCAAAGCCTTTATTGTGTTGCCATATATGAAAGAAACATCAGAAAATTTATGCAGAACTCTAAACAAGGCTGGAATTAGAGTAGCATTTAGACCTATAGATCTACCCAGAGATAAGCTTTGTCGGCTTAACGATCCGATAGACCCAACTAAGCAAAATAATCGAGTCTAGCAAATTCCACTCAATGACTGTCAGGTCAAGTGCATACGTCAAACTACGTGATAGGGTTCACATAGATTAGCGTAACAGAGAACTTAGCCAAATGTAGAATGACAGACCCCAGTAGGATCAATAACCCAGAAAAAAACTCGGCTATTGTAATCCATGCATTAACACAAAACGACATAATAGGTTTGGGATAAAATCACTATACTTAAGTCCAATATAATGAGGTGGAGATTGATTACTGAATCTCTGTTCATTGGATCAATATCCAACGCATGTAGTAGGAATGACGCAACACCTATACCAGAGATATGAAAAGTCTTACTACCACTAGAAACAAATGATGTGAGATAACAGGACTATAAAAATTAGATGTTGAAAGTAGTGTGATTACATTGATATGATTATGAGTAATAATTTATGCTCGAAACGTCACTAACTAAATAATACAGTTTCACTGTGTGTTATAAATCAAATAAACAAACCTAATATGGAATCTATATAGTCAACCGCACACACAGAAATAGATGTACTGTCACATTAATTGTAACATATGCATATTTATCGTATTTATTATCCCGGTTTCCATTCCCAGCTAATATAATATAAAACCTGATGGGTCTAGCAAACTGTCTTCTCTGAATGCCTACCCAAATGTATGGTAAGGAAAATGGGTTCGTCTAGATAGTAATTATTTTTGCAGCAACCCTCTTTTTGATTCTTCTGTAAAAAAATTAACTGTTGTATGAGAACTTTTGAAGAACCCGGAAAATGTGTATGTGAATGCGGGAAAATTTGAAAACTACGCAGTTCTGAACCTATTATTTAGTTGTTTCCACAATTACACCTGCGTTTCTGAGAGCCTCATGATTTGCGCAGAGGTTCACAAATAGTCACGTAAGGTGTTTTACTTGTGTTGGCATTCTTCAACAACCAAAGAACTTTCTTTGTCTGTTTATCAGGGTTTCGTTACATTACATTACAGAACCCAGGAACCCCAGAGAGAGAATTTCTTCTTATACAGATGAATTATAGTCATGTCATTATCGTCAAAAAGTTTAAGCAAATTAGGTGTCATGCCCCATGGTTAAACGGGGACCAGTAAAAAAGATTGACGCAGTTACCTGCAAAGACCTGGGGTGTTCCGGATAGAATAATCTATAAGCTGTTTAGGTGTAACCACACTGCCAACATCGCGGGAAGTACAATTTCTGGTGGTAATTTCCTACCATTGAAGCCCGATTATTTTATGCTTAAATCTTTACCGCATGCCCAGAGAAATCACCTATAGATTCGGCTTTCCATTTGTTCTCTAAGTCAGAACACACACGCTGAGTAACATCACCAAGTGAAGAAGACAACTGCTTGTCATCATCCTAATATAAAAATTATACACACGATTGAATTACATACCCGAATACTTCCCAATTTCTTTTTCTCCATTTGACTGAAGGAAGAATCCTGGAAAATTAACGGTAGGTATAAGTACTTACCAAAGGTAAATGTGTTGCCCAAGGTGGATACACAGCAGGTCGCCTAAATGAATTTCGACAAGAATCGGCAGTGATTCTGTTCCCCAGCTGACTGTTGAACCTGAACTAGAGGAATGGTTTTCTCCCTTGGCAGCAGTGTATACAGCCTCATCTTCAGAATTAGATGCATTATCCAAACATAATTTTGGGACACTTTAATAAATGATAAGTTACCACAACATACTCAGTGTTGGTCATTTTTGCGTCAGCCGTCACCAAGTGAGGAAGAAGTAACTGAAACAAAAAAATGGAAAGTAATCACTGCAAGATCTTGCGACAGCAACAGATCGTTAGGAGTTTTATTGTTTATTTCTACTATCTGAAATGTGAGGCATAGCTAGTCACTCCTCGCCAAGATCCTTATTTTAAAAAGTGAAATGACAGGTAAATTAATTCCATTTTTATTCACCAATCCAAAATTACCTGCAGTTCCTTCATCGAATAAACTTAAAACCTGTTGGTCAGATAAGTGTTATGCACCACAAAAGCGTACGTGATAGGTTTGAATGGAAAAAGTGACCATCTTACAGTTTCACTCCGGTACACACTACAGTTAGACGCGGGTCCTACGAAAACCAGTCTTATGGTGGCATGCGACTGTGGTAAGAACTATTTGGGCTTATAGATTCAGATCCCTCAATATACCCGGACAAAGCAAGAAGAATTAGGTTTGCAGATGATAACACTTCATTTCACAAATACTCCTCAGCTGCATACAGTTTAGGATTATAATGGTCATAGGCACAAAAGATAATTTAAAACCAGGAGAACCATGTTTTAGTTTGAGGTTTTGTGAGATTTATTTATTTCTGGGTGGTACTCATCAGTTAGACAAACATTGAAAACTTGAGAGCACTGGACAACTGTTTCATCCTGGCATGGGAATTCTAGGTAGTGAAGCATGGTCACTGAAAGCGGAAGATATCGAGAGATCACAGGTTTTCGAACATAGACGTCTTTATAACACTGCTGCCGTATGGTGAGATCATTTGAGTAATGTCGAGATTGGACGACAGGGTCAAACCAAGAAGGCAAGTCAGTTGATGGTGATGTGTACCTTCAACGACTGAGACAGTTTGAACATACGTTGTGAATACCAAGGCTCAACTTGTCTCCTCAGTGTGCAATGTTAGCGAGAGTATGATGGAAGAAGGTTCAGTATGATTCCATCAAGATGTGACACCAGTCGGATTCCAGTAGGGAAGTATAGACTGACGGGCTGGTGTCCACAAGATAAAAGGAATAATTGGTTGAATACTCTTTCTGACATAGCTAAAAATCGGTCACCATGGATCAGATGTGATAACCTTTTGATTGAGCATTTTCACTAAACTTGACTTTGAAACTCTTTAAACTCCGATACTTTTTTTTCTCTTTTGATATACAAACGATATTTGCAGGAACAAAAAACATTCTTTTCAACAACTTTGTCTTAATGCCCTACAGTTATTTATTTAGTCTTGCGTCAACACCTGTGAGATTTCATTTTGTTACCAATATTATACAGTTGATAAATTCTCTTCATAAATCTTTTATGTGAAGGGGAATTTCAGAACCAATTATTACCGGAATACAGCTCAAAATAATTTATCGTACAAACGTCTGTACAATTTATGTAACACCATTAGATGAAAATGATTCATATTAACTACGATGATGAGTTATACAAGTAAATTCCATGATTAGTAGAAGGGAAAATAGCGGTGTGAATGTATCTCTCATTTCCTACAAACGTATTCTTTGCATGTTACTGTCAAGTGTGGAGACTTGAAATGATGCATTTCCGTGTGACATCTTAGTTGGTTTTTTCTATTAGAATGGGAGCTGACAAACAAGCTTTGCTGTGAGCTAGCTGAGTTGTGTTTCAAAGTGTTCCACCTTAAATTCGAACCAAGAACTCTGAGACGTTATCAGTGGTCTATCGTTCAAGGCTTTGGTCTCGTTAACTATTATTTTACTTCTAGTCACCATCCTAATAAGACTACAGTTTTGCAGAGTATTACCTAGTGCTTATGCCCTCTCCATCTCTTTAGCCTTTGACACCCATCACTGCTCCCTATCACTGGATAAACTCTTAGTTTTTCATTTCGGTCAGAGTCAGCCAAAATGAGTCTTCTCACTCTAATCATTCCGGATGAGGTTGCAGAAATTCACTGGCTTTTGCCAACCTGACGATGTGAGTTAACTACAGTAGATTGAATATCACCCCTGGCATCCTCAGAATGATTGCTGTCGCGTTCGGATAAACGTTTTGATATTTCCTCTCTTAATACGGACTTGAAGTTATCATCCCCCGATTGAGCATGCATATGCCTAACTGCTGCTTGTTTTCTGTGACTAGTAAGGCAAAGACGCATATTTATCCGTACTAATGTATGACTTGAGTCCAAACAGGTACTCCAAAAACAAAGTTCATCGTTGGTTTGGTGTCGATGAAAACCATGGGATACACCTCCTCCTATTTTTATAATCCGAACTGGGCACCGATCATGAATAGACATCGACAAGTCTCAAGTTTCTTCTTTGTTCTTAAAGACCGATTCACCTGGGCAGCACGAAGATGTCTGTTGACTGGTATTTAGTCGGGAAGGGCACTTTATGCTTGGGAATTTAACATTCACTACAGAGTTCATGAGAGCTAACTACTGAAACTCCGGACACTCGTAAGGTGAATTGTAAAGAGTTACCTTATTTTATAAGTAGGGCCGAGTGGATAACAACAGTTAGGTTCTACACAAGTTTTTCAGAAACATCATCCATCCATGGTTCCAGGGTCTTGGGTTCTGGAAAGAAACGCTTTTTGTCCAGTTTGGCACAGAATTTGGACGTCGATCGCTCCAATATGGAACTGAGAGATAGGTTTCAGAAATACTGTTCCACTGACGCGATTCGTTAGCAATGGTTATCCAGTCAAAGTTTGGGGAAGCTTCAAGAGACTTTATAATGACATCAGGAAGTGAAGACAATCAAGTAAACAAAAGTAAGGAGAGTAGGTTACTGTCATTTAGCTTGTGTATACTGGTGGAGGTGTTCAAGGTGTTGATATTTCCCGGTTGCAAGGCAAATGAGCGAGGAAATAGATTAGTTTTGAATGACTGTGAATTTCATGAGACTTATTCTTGAGGCCTACCACACAAGACTATTTTAAGATTGTTGGACCGGTTTTTGATGGTTACTCGAGAATGACCTACGTTTATATGTAGAGAGAGAAAGAGAGTTGTAAATACTTGTCATATAATTAGATGCAATTCCATTTAACGGCTATATCAACCAATATCCCTACTTACATGAAACTCTTAAAGCAACACGTAAATGTAGTATTTGAATTCAGTATAACTAGAATGATACCCACTTTTTACAAAGCGCTGAAAAATTTATCAGGTATATACTACAAGATTGGATAATTTTGTCAAAGATAAAGCTGAGGAACTGAATCTTACATTTTCAAATGATGGTAAGGCTAACCTTCAGATCTAAGAAATTGCTGCTACACGTATCAGAAATTATGCATACGTGCCTCTGCATAATATTTGGATACACTAGTGAATTTCCATTAAATTACCTCACTATAGTATTAGTTCAGTAAAATATGGAGACATCCTGCTTTGCTTTTTATCTACCTAGTACATTTCTTAAAGGACGTTCAGGGTTTCAATGATTTTTTTGCAGATACACTTCTTTATCCCAAATTTGCAAGTTCTTTTTACAACGAATGGGAAGCAACTTTATTATTGCAAAATACAATTATTTTGTCATCAAATAAATCTAATAAATATTCAGAACTGTAGTTTAAGGCTACAGGTACTATTTTCATTCACAATCGGAAAGAAACATAATATGCGTTCGCTAATGATTTCTACATGAAGTGCGATGAGAACCAGATTGACAGATATTTTCGATGTGATTAATATCTTGACTTCTGCATAGACTATAGACTAGTATATAGTGCAACATTTGCAACTATGAATATTAGCGCGATAGAGATTTCTGATGAAGGAAAACAAAGTACACTCATTCACCTGACTAGTGAAGATATTCAGAACGATCCACTAGCATTTATTTGCAGTTCTAATGGAACAGTAACCAACGATAGCCTCAATACAAACATACCTGATGAGAAAAGTACGGGCAGGAGGCTTGAACAGTATAAGTTGAGTTTGAACAGTCGCATCAATTATTTTACTGAAAACCAGCTTTAGAGAAACAACGGCTTACTGACTTAAAACGGTACAAATAATCCATGAAAGACGAGTAGAAAAATAAAATGAATATAGAAAATATCTTACTAAAGCAATTCAGTCGGCATATAAACATAGAACTCCTAGTATTTTAATAAAGTAAAAAACAATGTTACCTACAATAAAAGCTTGGAATCAAAATTTCCCAGCTACCGAAGATGAACTTATCCACCTATGGAATGATGAACATCGAACAGCTTACCAAGCTTATAATCATCAGCACTAAAACTCTTTTCTTAGACTTCTAGTTGTTTGAATATGATTTCCAGAACTCGGTAGGTAAAATACCCAAACATAAGATAATATCGCTTAACCTCAGCTCTAACCAGTTCATTATTCCATATGAACTGTACACTACCATCAGTAGAAGTAACTATAAAATATTTTAGGGCGTCTCAAGCATCTCAGTAAAAACCTCTGATAGGTCTTACGAATGATATGATTAGTCCAGTCTATAAAATTGAAATAAATCATTTGGTGAATAATGGCTATTCAGTTAATCGAATCTCCACGACTGTCAGTTTTCTAGGAAGGCTGTCTTGAGGGATATTAAGAGTAATGATCTTGTAAGTGTAGACAATTCGAAATAACTGTTACCTGTTACAGCTCCTTACACTGGTACGAAAAATTTTTAGGATTCAGTTAGAAGCCTCTTGTGACAAGTCACCTCTTAAAAGAGCATTATTGAGCACGAGCTAGGATTTATGCAGACTTACGCAGTCAGAATATGAAAACTATTAAATTCTTTTTCCAAAGAGGTTTTAATAGCCACTTTGGTAGACACTTTCAAAGGAAGCTAAAAACTTCCTTAAGATTCAATGGCACAGAATGTTTGTACTTTACAGACTTCTATCCCTTCTGAACCACAATTATCATCACTTACGAAAGAAAGCGACTGTTCTAACTAATCTCATTTGTTATTTCAGGTCACATTGGATAGAAGGTGGACTTCAATACTGCCCACATTAGGAAAGTTCCTCAAAAACTTATTTGTATGGTAGAGTAAGGGTTGCACGGGACCCTAAGTCCATGAAGTGACAAAGTATTAATATCGTTAACAATTTGAAAAGGCATTGTATAAATAACACAACAGATCTACTCTTAATTTACTGAATCAATATCAACATGGAGCCTAGCACTATTTTGTAATGATCCAAATCAGTCGTAAGTTTGTTGAAGAAAAACTTGTTTGGCCTTCTTTATTTGACTCTAAAAAACAAAGAGTAGTCACAAATAAGCGGGACTTTAAGAATTCAGTAGTATTCCTGGAGCTAACTGTCATCACTCAACGGAGAAAGGACAAAGTAGAACATATTGGAAAGTTTTTAAACTTTCATATAGTTGGAGAAAGTAGGGACCCAGGACTACGAAACCATTTTGAACAGGATCTTGGTAAAACTCAAAGTTTGGTAAACAAGCTACAGTCACGAAATATACCAGTGTTAGCCCTACTCAAGACATAAAATAGGAAGGAAATAGGTAACTCCTGTCAAAAATGTTTCAACTTTCAACAGTTATTCTCCTGTTAGCAGACAGGACTTCATTTTAAGAAATTCCCATGCATTTTTAAAAAGTGAAATGCTTGTGTATAAAAATTTATCTGTTGCTGATCAAATCCAGTAACGGAGAGCACAGAACGAACTGAAATCCCGATTAGAAACAGAAAATAAAATCCTTAGAGTGGTGGGTTCTCGTGTAGTAGGGCTTCCGAAATAAACAATACTGAAATCTGCGTAGATAGAATGAAGGTTCACATGGATTTTTTATGTACTCATACACATTTTCGTAGCCTTATCAGCAAATCGGCAGAGGTAACTAGGGGTATAAAAAGCATATAAAGCTCTGATACAATTAGTATCTTCTGAGATCAGTGACGATGAAGTACATTAGCAAGGATTCATCTTGCTGCAGAGTAACAGATTAGTAAGCAGAGGTGGTAGTATCATTTTTTACGTAAAAACGTTTTATCTGCATGAGCCATAGAAACTTTCGCTCATGAAAATGCTACTTTACGGTTAAACTGCAAGCGAAAAGATGTTAGCTAAGTAGTAGTATGCCATAGATCTGAACGTGAAGCGAAAGACTTCTTCCTGAATAAGCTCTCAACAGATAGAGACAAAAACCTAGTTGTGAGAAACTAAAATGTATTATCTGTGGACTCTACTACCTAGTAGAGAACGCATCAAGTAATTCATTCGATCACAGGTTAGTGGAGACGTTAGTTTCATTGACTACTTTACGGCACATTGTCGTAGCAACCTGACGCAATTGTCAAATCTCACCATCAGTTGTGTAACTATTATTCTCTCGTAGAGACGATACAAGCCTTATATGATACCTGTAACCCTTGACAAGCATAACCATGGTGGAGTTATTTGAGATCCACAGACACCATATTGCGCCACGTCAACAACTCAGCTAGGCTCAATGCGTAAAACGTGAATATGGTATTTATCGATTTGGCAGCCTCTTTGAAGGACTTAATTATCAGTCTAAAAACCCCGGTTGAGGCCGCATGCTGCTCCTACAGACAGCTGTGCGCTCAAGTAGTTTAACTATTTATTCCGAGGACCATTCTGCAGCTACAAAAATGCTTCAGATAAATAAACTGCGAGTTCTGTAGTCTTCCTCGACAGAAGAGTCTAGTCAATAACTTCGGCAATCCCAATGTAAAATAGCTGTATAATGTAGCCCAAAATAAACCTATCACAGCAATAAACCAGTCCCAGCTTGCTCGAGTTGCAGTATGAGGTTTGAAGGTTCTTTCCTTGTAAGAAGTATGAGTTATAGATGACATGGTATCCTCCCTTATTACAAGAAAAGGAACTACTTAGTTAATTGAGTACAACAAGTACAAAGCAGAGACCATGACCAGATATTTCGCTAAAGTCTGTACTTATGGATATCTAATAAATAAAACTTGAAAAATAGGAGTACCGAAGTCCAACAGAATGGACTCTGTAGATACCGAACGCACTGGTATATTTAAGACAGAGAGCATTCTGGATATGAGCTCACCATAATCATACCATCCACATCTGACTTTGAATCTAACGTAACTAGCCCATGGACTACAATATTTAGGATGCGCTTAAGTCATATTACACTTCCATACAACGAAAAGGATACCACAGTATGCCTATTTTCAAGGGAGGTTCTGGGTACCATTTACTAAGTTACAGGCCAATATCTTGACTAAATCTGTGGTTAGAATCCTGCGAAAAGTAGTCAAAAATGTCTTCACGAATCAACTGGGGAGCAACATCCTACCGTTTATCTCGTAGCATAGCTTTTACAGAGGCTTGTCGTACTTGACAGACCTCACGGTCTGAGAAAATTGAGTTAAGCCTAAGAAAATAAGAAAGCCTTTACATGTCATTTTCACCGACTTCAATAAAAAGCTTGACAAGGTACTTCATTAGGTTGCTCATAAAACTGGAAAGTTTAAGGATCGTCGGCGATAAAGATTCATAGATCAGGTAATCCCTTTTTACTAAGACACAAATATTAAACATCAATTCCTAACTTCTGTACAGGATGGAGTGCTGCAACGTACAGCCTCAGGTCTCCTGCTATTTCTTCTTTACACAGACTAGCTACCGAGTATGACACCAACTCCGATGATCTACTCGGATTATTACAGAAGCTCAGTAAGAAGTAAGAGATGATGATAGCACAAACAAACTTCATATAGACCTATGCGGTTAATTAACTTGGTTAGCAATAACCTAGGGTAAAATGAAGTCATGGTTCAAAAGCCTTAGTGCACTGTTGATGAAATATAGCCCGCAGTTTTATTACACTGAGAAGTACGTAGAATTCGTATTAGGATCAGCAGCGATATGTTCGCAAGATACAAAATTTCAATCAACTCCAAGGTGAAAAACCATGCAGATGACAATCCACTGTTCTAACGATGACTCAGACCCATGAAAAAGAGATCAGAGGATGGCCACTCATATGATCTGTGTGATGGCTGGTTTGACCTAAGAATGGCTTCAAAAGCTGAACCTCTTCTTTCTATCTTATTGTAGACAGAAATGAGATTTAACCACGCTATGTAAAACTGCATGAAACGACTTTGGAGCCGGCTTATCTTCCTTTTTCCTTTCAACTTGGTGGGAAAACCTGAAAAGACAAAGTAGGAGGATACAAGAGCCAAGGAAGAAAGTTTTGTATCTGATATTTATCCCTAGGATAACGAATTAGAATCACAAATCGGCTCACGCACAAACAAATACAAGGGTCCATTAGAAAATGGTTAACATAATCCTATAGCCTTCTATCTTAGAGCGTCAAATCTATGCCTAACGGCAGCCCACTAAAATACAAGGTAGTAAGCCAGAATAACAATTATATATATATATATATATATATATATATATATATATATAACAGAAAGAAAAACTGAAAATATTTGCCCCACCTACAACTTCTTTGAAAAGGTAGAGCTAACATAAGTAAACAGCCACATTAACATTTAGATTCATAATACACAAACAACAGCAAACCGTATATTCCTTAATTAGTTTGCATTTAAAAAGGTTGATTAGTTTATTCATTTCTAAGACTTTTGTCTTAGGTGGAGCTGTGGCTAAATGGTTTAAGATGACTATCATTCAGCTGGCCACGGGTTTAAACTCCACTCCACCTACTCAGATTTGGGCAGGCAGGTAGTATCACTAGCCGTCACATAACAGGTGTGGCTCATTACCTATGGCTGAATGCTTTATTTTTCTTTCTAGTATATGATACGAGCTGAAGATAGTATGGTGAAGTTCCTATATTTAATAGTACATGCATAAAGTCTTACATACTTGCCCCCGGTCTAGCCTGAGGACTGATGAGTGACCAAAATGATAGGTGTCTGAAAGAAAACTTCTGCCAGCTGTTTACATAAGTTAGAATGTTTGTTAACAACAGTGTGGATTAGAATATTTAGCAAGTAGGGCCAATAAAAGAAACAGAAGCTTATACGCCGTAACCTCTCTGAACCACAAGATTTTGTGTAAATATCAAATCTTCAATGTGCAAAAATGATTGATCAATCATTTGCAGTGACTATATCGATAGAGCCACTACAAATTACTAAGGAATGGACTTACAGACTTTGTGTATCCTAAATACTAAACAGTTAATCCAGATAATAACGCTCTCCCTTTAATAATCCAGGCTTACGTGATGGTATATAAATTACTACCTATAGCTGCAGTCAAAGAGACTTATGTCTGGATATCAGAAATTATGAACGGAAAGATTCACTGAAATCATGATTCTACCTACGTTTCTACTTCCTTTAATTTTGTTTCTTTTTCCTCTCACTTACTCTGTCTTGATCTTCTTTTTACTACCAGTCTGGATAACTCTGTGATGGTACGACATTTGTGGAACCCATCTGCATCATAGTCACTGGACAAATCATACAATTCCTACAACTTCAATCAATACCCAATCACCCGTCGGGTTAACCAGAACCACAGTAGGCAAGTGGGTAGACCTACCTTATCGTAACCCATCAAAGACTTGGAGCAGTCTCACAAGACCTAGAAGCGAGAACGAAGAAATCAGTTGGTGTACATTATCTCGTAAAAAAAACTGGAAACTGGACTACATATTGTTCAGTTCATGACAACTGAAAGTAGAATAAGTCATACTGTAACTCATTCAATTGTCGTCGAAATGCAAACTTAGGTTTCAGGATGCTTTCCATTTAACATATGCTGCCAAAATATTGGAAACATGTAGCTCGAATGAATTTATGTCTATCTTTCCGAATCGTAACAAAACCGTAGCTTAAAAAAAGAGAATTCTGATGATAGACAAACGCAATTAAGTAAAAAGATGTCAACCCTACCGAAAAGAGTATTCGTCATCTTACCAACTAATTAGAATCACTGAAACACGCGGGCTTGCGTTACCGTAGTAACACAAAATAAATGAAACGAAATATTATAAATGTTTTTTCCATATTTTGTGATACATTTTATAGCGGCAATATGCTGCAATATTGTTTCTCAACACTCCTTGAGAAGATTTGTTTAGATATACCAAATGTAAAAACCTCGTTATAGCAACAGGGCATCTTTTCAAAATTATATTTCTTAACTCAGCTTCATATTTTGAACGAACGTCTGATATTTAGCAAACAACGATGTCTGATCTCGTATTAGACGATAAAAGAGCTGAATTTATAGCTGAATATGTCTTGACTTCACACAAACTGAAGAATGACAAGTGGATGAAATTGTGGAATTCGGAGGATATGAGGCAAAAAATAACTACTTTTTTCGACAAAGCTGATGTCACCCAGCTTTTTATAGTTCTGACCCCTGCTGGAATTTTGGCAGCTGAGAATGATTTCCCCGTTAGTTCAAAGTCCAAGACGTGTTTTTTTATGAAAAAATCAAAAGAGGTTATCCCTAAAGACGGGTTGCTTAGCAAATACATGTTCTATGGAGATCTTTCCTACAGTCCTTTGGAACATTTTTCTGCATTTGTCGATGAGGTGAGCCTTCCGTGTTTTATCTTTATCCCTAATAACCAGGTTCTAATCCCTGTTCTTTCTAACAAGAAAAATTACAGTTCATGGCCTACAGTAGTGTATGAAGATGTCATCAAGTATGCACATGGCCTTAAAAAGCAAACTGATATTGTTGTTGGACAAGTGAAAGGGAAGACTCTTTTGCCCCTCCCAGTTGAGCAGGAGCGATTTAAAGAACATTTTAAAGAAGGGTAAATATACTTTCTTTTTGTTTGGTTTTAGGCTCTTTTACCTGAAATTCATATTTACAGTACTGTGCTGATTAGTTAAAAATTGTTGCAGTTCATTCTGAAAAACGATATAGAGGACAGTGAATCTTGTTTGGCTTATTTCAGTTTTAGCCCAGTTTTCAAAACTATAGCTAGTAGTTGGAGCTACTTGTATTAATCTTTTTGATATTGAGTGCTGTCACGATTCTCTCTTGAATCTAAAGTATACATGAAAGTTGGAGAAATGACGTATTTATGCAAAAAGTTTAACAGTTTATAATTCAGCCTGAAAAACGAAGTTCCAGATGTCAATGATTTAACCACGGTGACACTGACAAGGATAAATATCTCTTTCTAATAATGACTGACAACCTAGAGACTAGTTTCAACTATCTGGAAGATGCCCTCAGAGCCTACGCAGGACTGCATTCGTAGGTGGACCACTAGGTGCCCTTTTCGAAACTATAAGACCTACATACGACCTCACCTAATAGTCGGCACCTTTGCATCAACACACCTGAAAATGTCGTGAACCTCCTGAGAAACTCTGGAGACGGGTTAGGAACAGCGTTGCAGGGATGCATCAGAAATCATGATAGAATAGATTATAAGGCTTGGATTATCCTACTTCTACTTATCGCAGGACATACGGTGACTTGATCACAGCTAACAAGATACTAAGCAATTCAAATCACTTAAATAAAGAAATATCACTCTTAGTTCACCTTAGCAGTCCTCATGATAACTCAAAAAGGATTGATCATCAAATTGCAAAATGTTCGTTTGTTCTCCTTGCTTTCAACATTAAGTATGCTGCCACTGGGGCTCGTTGCCTGCCAATGCTTTGTTTGTCGACAGCTTCAAAGAAGTTTGGGCAGCTACCCACTAATACTTGGTTTGCACCCAACCACTTAGATTACCGACTAGACTGATAAAGTTAACTGACGTCATATCAGTCCAATAATCTGTTGCCTCCACACTCATTCTATCCCACTGCAACTATTATTATAGACTCAATTCAATGTTCTACCTCCCTATAAGATGGCTTACCTCTTTAGTCATATGCTCATTATTCGTATCATAACTATTTACGCTATCCCTGCTATAAACTTCCCTATCCTTTCCTCTCACCCTTACTCCCTTGAATCAACCCGTTTCATTTAAGCCCTCCATATCAATTTTTCTTTGCTTTCCCTAGACTTTTCTTTCTCCTTAGTTTTCTTCCTTTTCCCCTCTCTCATTTTGCCCCTTGCTTTTTTTGGTTGTCCTTCTTTTACAGTGGCTCTCAATAGTTATCTGACAAAACGACATTTGGGAGATCTCTCTGTACCAAATTTTCACGAAAAGGCATACATCTTCCTACAGATTTAAACAATATTTGACCACCTGTAGGGGTTTATCGGAGCTGCAGTGGGTGAGTGAGTGAATCCAGTCCATCGGAACCCTCCAAAAACCTGTTCCGTAAGATCTAGGAGCGAAGACCGTGAAATCAACTGATTTATAAAAGCTAGTAAAACAGATACCGGATACTGGACCGAAATTTTCGAACTTATCATTTATATCGTTTCAGGTGATTAGTTAAAGAACTTAAATCATTTCTTATGTTACGGCAGTTTAATATAAAGTCTCTTTGCAATCTATGGTAACATTGTGGAAACATATCAGGTCGATCTAATCGTTCTTCGTAAAGGAATTTATGACCATTTTAGTACATGCCTGCTACATAATTGAAAGATTGACCCGCTGCATGAATATTTTATTCAGATTCAGATCCGACATACATCAGATATAATATCCGAGGTGTATCCTCATCAAGTCACTGAAATGTCTTAAGAAGGGACAATAATATTCAAAAACCTTCTTAAACTGATGTTCTTCAGTTTGTTGTGGTTTAAATGTCATGGCTCACAACGATTCTTTAGTTCTGATACTCAGATACCCTGGGTATTGACTTACAAAATCAACCAGGAATCTGTCACATAGGTGCATCGGTTCAAATTGTCATACTTCACAGTAGTATACAAAGAACAGGTGAATAAGGAAAGTGATACCAAAGTAGACATAGTTGTGTGAGAGACTAAACAATATGAAGATAACGGATAGTGCAAATATTCAGGCTTTAGAATACGTCAAGGAATACATCTGCACCACTGCGACCGGTTTCTAGTCACGTCACTAAGTGTCTTCAACCACTGACTCCCATCGTCTCGAAGACCCCAAGTCAAGCAGTCTGCATCTTCCTACACGATTCTCACAAACAGTAAGAGACTTTATCAAGTGGTGCCATGTCTTGGTTTGACCACTCCCAAACCTCTTCCAAACTAATCCAGCTTTCTCTACCATAACACAACGTTGTAGGCGGTGACTGGGCATGCGCTACACATGCCCAAACCATCTCAGTCAACTAGGGTTCACTTTGGGTATTCGTATGTCAGTAATCGTCCAAACATACAAATTACCGTGACTGATACATATGACTACACTCTAAGTAGTATATGCCTCCAGAGTTCACCTCCTGGACTTTTCATCTTCTCTACCATAGTCTTCCTGTGGGAATAACCAAAGGTTATCTTTTGGAGTTGTAGAGAAACTGGCTTTAATGTGTGTTTATTCTTTACGTTAGTAAACTTGACTAGATATATTTACGTTCATATTTTATAATAAAAACCAAATACTTCAGACGTTAGAATACTGACAGATTGCAAACTTTACTACCTTCACACAAAAGTTAGTTGAGCCTCCTGCATCTAGTGGTCGTCTTTATTATAGTTAAAGTTTCTAGGGCTTACATATTGTTTACAACTCTTATTTGCCTTAAAAATAGTGTCAGCTTATCAATGAATTCACAAGTATTTCAGATAGGTGAAGTGAGTTATTTTTCGTAAAATACGAGCTTTCATACAAAGATCCGGAATATCTATGACTTTTATCCTTTTTCGTTTCTTAATCACAGTAAAATAAATCGAAGTTTTGTATATGCTATTGAGTCACTTGTTATTGATTGGTCTCATCAAATTCACAAAGTGCTACTCAAAGACTCTTGCCAACCTCTTCTTAATGGCTTACACCCCACTCCATTAGTGGAATTAGACTTTTGGAAAGCGAAAGTGACAAATCTTGAAAATATCTACTCTCAGTTAAGTACACCAAAAGTTAAACAAATGGCACAAATATTAGAACATGCTGATAGCAGTTATTTTGTCCCATTTAAAGAAATGTTTAAATCCGTTGTAACAGGTAAGCCATCTTCTCTTTTACAATTTTCGATTTAAATTAGTTATTATGAGTAAATTTTAGCGCCCAGTTAAGAAAAAATCCCATTTTAAGAGTGACATTTTTTCCAATGTTTTATTATCTATGCATATTCCTACAAAGTTGTCGAGCAACCTATATAAACATGTAGATATTTAATTTGCAGGTCTATGTGAAATTTAGTGACAATGAAAACATTTTATAATGGCACAACACTAACCAGCTAACTTTAGAAAAACTGGGAGCGCAGAAGAGTTCTTCCGCTAAATCAGGAACTAACAGAAATTGACACAAATGAGCCCCTGGATTCAGACTCCGTGTCTTAGTGGTAAAGTTTTCACCACGAGACCTGAGAGTTCGGAGACCACTCTCACAAAAGGTCGCCGGTGATGAGTCCCGAGATAAGATGAAGCGCCTGTTCATTGTCCTCAGATTCCCAAGGATTCTTTGGCTGGTATCAGTCAGCTATATGAAAGCTCCTTCAAAGCATATATATATATATATATATATATATATATATATATATATATTATATATATATATATATATATATATAAATCTTCCCTTGGGTTCCTAGTGAAACATGAGGCTTTAGTAGCACGCCTCCATTTCATTCTCTTCTCTGCAGTCTTTTCAATCTGGCACCAAGACTGCCCACAAGCTGTCATTTCTTCTCCACATGATCTCCTCCATGCTATCCTCAGCTGGGACGCCCAACTCGTCGTTTCCTCTTTGGATTCCACTCCACGGCCTGGCCTGGCACGTGATGTCCATAGTCAGCCATCTCAGTATATGCTCAATCCAATCCATATATACTCCATTCTGCATATTTCTTGGATGAAGGGTTGTTGGCCGGTTCATCGGTAGCCAGCCAGCCAGCCAGCCAGAGTTCCTTGTTGCTTATTCTTATTGTTCCGGCTATCTGATCTTCAGCGTCAGTATCGAGTGGGCGTAGGCGGCAGATGTTGTTGTTGGAAGTGCTTTTCGTGACACGCCAAGTTTCTGAACCACATTGCAGCACTTACTTGACTGATATTGGTGTTGAAAACCCGGATGTCACTCACGCTTTGTGCTGAGTGGAGTGCAGTAGATCTCCACAGTGGTTTCAGATTAATGAAAGCCTATCTTGCTGTCTTTCTCATCCTGGTTTTGAAATCCTCGTCTGTGCCACCTCCTGTAGTTAAAATGATGCTACCTAGGTAGGTGAAAGAGACTACTTCTTTCAGATTTCTCCTGTTGATGGTGATTGGTGCCTCTTGTCGTTGATGTCGTTTTTGGTCGGGTATCTTCATCACCTCCGTCTTCTCTACACTCACTTAAAGTCCCGTTTTCACTGCCTTGCCTCTTCTGTCAACTTGTTAGCTTTAGTCTGTAGATCTTTGAGTTTGTGCTACAAGACATTAGACATAAATCATCATTGGCGAAATCCAAATCTCCTAGGGTCTTTTCATCGGTCCAGCCAGCATATGCCCATCTTTTCACTCCTCATGGTTTGCTGCATGGTCCAGTCCACCACAATCAGGAAGATGATCGATGATAGTAGGCAGCCTTGTCTTACTCCTGCCTTCACTTCAAAGGCGTCACCGAGCTTTCCATTGTGGATCATTCAGCATGTGGCATCTTCATATAGCTGTTGAATGAGGTTGATAAAGATTTGTGGAACTGAAACCATAGTGTTGAAGCAACTGCCAAATTACTTCTCGGTTGACGCTCTCGAGGGCCTTTCAGAATCGATGAAGTGGAGGTAGAGTATTGATTGCCATTCTTTACTCTGTTCTATAATGATGCGTAGCGTAGCTTTGAATCTCGATCCGCACATGATTTGTACTTCCTGAATCCAGCCTGTTCCGGTCGTAATTTTGAATCTGGAGTATGCTTTGGTCTCTCCAGGATGATGCGGCTTAATATTTGCTAAGGGTCGATAGCAGCACGGTTATATATATATATATATATATATATATATATATATATATATATATATATATATATATATATATATATATTCTTATTACTTGAGGAATGAAAATGCAGGTTTCTTAAAGTAGAGTAATTTTCAAAATGTAGAAGACGTTAAGGTAAAATGTGATTTTTTCAAATCTTTCATGTTGATTTCTTCATGAAACTCAGTTGTGTGAATGGATCATTTATACTGATCAGTTTTTTGAGTTTTAGCTGTGGTGCAAATATCCGTTATTCTAAATCTATTTTGTGCATCTCTTACTGTTCATTTTGAAAATAACTTCCGAAAACGGTATCTCATACTACTTTTTATTAACTCATTCCTTGAACTTTAAATCATTTGGTCAGGTTTTCGACTTCACTACTTAAACAAAATTCTCAAAAACCAGTCAACTTCACTGCTTTGCCGAAGTTAATTTTAGTTTCAACTCTGCTCAATAACTACAATAAGATTGTTTGACTATTACACTGTATTTCTATGGGCGATGGGTACAAATATGGAACACAGTGATCACGTTTTGTCCACTATTTGAATATAAGTTCTACTTATATCCTTCGATAAATCTTATTCATGGTTGAATATCAATCATTCTGAAAGCCTGAATAAAGCAATGAGTCACACCCATTGCCCGTACACTCAAGGATAAACTTTTTGATCTTTTAGAGATTATCACAATCCAGAGGCAAAACAGCCGGACGGAATTACAACATGATTTCGATAAAATATGGTAACTTTGTTGTAACTCAAGATTGCTACCGAGAAATTCCTATCTATAGGCCTAATGGTTGCCAATTCGAATTCTGAAAGAGGTAATAGTTATTACTTGTTCCTAACCTTTTGTTGACTTTTTAAAAACTGACATCAAATTTTGATTCGATTTTAGGCAGTTGAAATTTTTATCACGTACATAAAGATAGGTTTACTAAATGCAAGGTAGTAACTTCAAGTAAAATACTTAGAAATATATGAATTCAATCTTTTTTCATCTTGTATCTGTTTATTCATAAGTTCTACGAAATTGAAGAAAATATAAAAGTGAATCTCGGTACCATGTAGTATGTTTGTATTTAATATGAGTTTATTCATGATGTACAGCTTGTATATCATTTCAACATAATAATACTTACATATTTTTGCTTTGCTTTTTTGCTACAATTCTGTAGTGAGTAAAAACTTAATGTTATGTTGTTTCAGCGTTACGCGAAGCACAGGATATTGATATGCACTTAAGTATTATGAGGTCACGACTGGAAGATATGGAACAAGCTGAATTGATCAATTAACACAACATATTGAACCGATTTTTCATATTATCTGTTTAACGTGGGCTAGTTCTAAAGGATATTTAAAATCCTAGTACCCTTGTCATCATAGAGAAGGAGAGAAAATTTGGAATATATAAACTCTCTCTCGAAGTTGTGGAGTTACCTGATATGAATATGGACAATAAGTTATGTCCGAAACGTTATCCAGTAAATGATACTGTTTCACTGTGTGATATTTCTAATAAACAGACTAAAATGGAATTACAACCGACCACAGCAACCAAGTTTTACTCCTATATGTATGAGGCTATTTTTAACGATGCAAATCTTTGTATGCTCTGTGTCAGTGATAAATGTCCTGCAATTTAGGAACAATACCATTATGCTCACCTTGTATCCATTTATGTATAACTTGAACTGACGTGGTGCTTACAAGACTATTCTTGCATCAGTGGACAAGACTACATTTTTGGCTAACTATCTAATTTTATGACAGGATCCATCGAAATTTGTCTAAATACGAATCATCTCTCCTTTAGAGGAGTTTAAATTTTAATTTGGACAAGCCATGTTTATCAGCTTTTTAAATCGCGCCTCCAATCGAGTGGGCTTTGAAAAGCATATCAAGTGAAGCAGCGAATGAGGTTAGTTACAAGATATAAGGCAAATGATTACACCAGAAGCCTAATAAATCAAACAAAAATAGAGAGGAACTCACTGCTATGCGGCAATAATGCATAGATAAGACTATTATCATCACCAGAGTAGACTAGGCAAACAGTACAGTGATAATGAAATCAACTGATTATGAGAAAAAGGCAAAGGAACACCTTAATACTGATCCTTAAATGTTACGAAAACGCATCCACGTTGGAAAAATTGAAAGCTGAAACTAGCAAAGTGGACTTATCTACAAAAAATAAATTACATGCATCCCTGTGGTTCTCATTGGCTTCACAAAGTTGCAACCCCTGTAGAATCTACGGACTAACAAGATAAATATACCTCAGGCTGGTTGCCTACTTTACTAGCTCACTGACATGTAACTTGGCAAAATATGTATCACGAATTTTAAAAGCATGCAAGAAGGAATCAAATATGTGGTGAAAACTTCGTCTGGATTCAAGAATTTAACAACCTTATCTTAGTCTGAGTAAGATGGAATTATGGCTAGTTTTGTTGTTTCCTTCAACCTAATCCAGGCTCCCTTAAGGTTGGCACGTCGAGGTAGGCGGCGACTCAGCACTTGCAGAACATGTCTAGGCCATCTCGGTCCCCTAAGGTTCACAACTTCATCAATTAACCTGTCTGTGTTGTCTAATAACCTTCACCTGACCACAACATTGTTCTTACAGTGATTTCACCAGCTGCGAGAGATGCTACGAAGACATCTGTGATCGAAACTATGTAATCGCCTCGTGTCTTCTCCTGTTAACGGCCATGTCTCATATGCTTACAAAATGACAGAGAGGACTGCAGCTCGTAACACTCGTCTTTTGACAGATAGTCACCTATCTCTCCGGCGAAACAGGTAACGCAAGTTTGCAGATACCAAACGGACCTTCTGTATCCAAGGTGAGATTTAGTCGGCAACCAACCCGTTCCGGCTTATGCAACCTCATGAGTAAGTGAAGTGGTCGATACATTCCGCCGCTTCACTCCCTACCATTAAGCTGAGAGTACTTGAATCCGACCAGTCCTGCAGAATCATCTCACATTTGTCAGGCGCCAGCGAGACGCACGCCAAACATACTGATTTCTGCTCAAATCAAGAGAAGACTCCAAATTGCGTCAGCGTCTTCACCTAGCAGGACGATATCGTCTGAAGACTACAAATCAACCAGATGACCTCCAGAGAGTATGTCAATCCCTGTGAAGTCAGATGTACTTAAGGTTATGTCCATTATATATCTGTGACGAAGTTAAACAGGAATGGTGAAAATGGTTATCGTTGGTGGACACAAGTTGCCACCAATTCACACGAAAACTCTCAATAAGCTCTTACATGGTTGCGTGAGTTCGAATGAAGAGCTCTGATTAGCGTTATATACTTCTTGGGTGCTCAATTCACCAATAGACACCTCCATAAGAACTCACGATTGACAGAGTTAAATGACCCCTTCAGGTCAAGAAATATGGCAGGTGTAGGCCACTGGCCGATAGGTATGCCTATGTTCCAGAACCCGTCGGAGGGTAAATATATGGTCGATTCACCCTCGTCCAGCTGTCTCAAACCTGCCTACTTTTCTCGAGTTCGCTGATCTCGATCTACAGTTAGGCGCCGAGTAACTATACAGCCTAGGATCTTGGACGCAATACCAATCAAACTAATGCCCCTGCTGTTGTCACAAGAAGCCTTCTTTTCTTTCTTATTGACTGGGATGATCAGTGGAGTACACCAGTCTGACGGCACTGCCTCTGACCCCCTTACACTATTTAGTACCTACGCCCCTCTTGAAGCAGCAATTACCTACCTACATCCTTGGAAACTTCAGGTGCAAAGCTGTCAGATCTTGCTGCTTTGCATCGTTCCAGGTTCAATACAGCTTTCTCAACTTGAAAGATAGTTGAAAGACCGATATCCACGCCCCATTCAGATTCAGGCTGACTGGATACGTTCTGCTCAAAGTTCTAGGAGCCTCTCCTGAAGGCGAAAGTTTATCAGCATCCAATCGTTTTAGATGGTGGTTTCAATCACGATCGTCTTCTTCTTGCCGGTATTCTTACTAAGCCTAAACAGTTGCTGAGTGTTGCCCAATGTTGATGCCTTCTCCATCTCAATCACTTTCGCTTTTCACCAGTGATAGCAATCAACGAGAAGATGCATGGTCAACTTCCGTTCAAGTTACTTTTGCTCTTCATTTTCCTCGGAGCCAGCTGGAACCAGACATCTTGCCTCAGTTAGTCCGGACGACGCCGCGGGAATCAAATGACGTATTATAACCTTTAGGTTTAGGTTACCAACTGACTTTACCTAATATCACACCATTTCCTGGAAATGAGCAGATAAATTCTCAGCAATCTCATCCCTAAATTCGGACTTCACGTTGTCATTGTCCAGTGGACCATAGACAGGTTTCCTGCCGCCTGTTACCTGAGATGAGTAAGGTGCAAACATACATGATCCCGTACTAGAGTGTGATCAGAGATTAACTCGGTAATCCAAAAGGGAGGGGATCCTCCACAGATCCTTTTCGACAATGTCTTGGAACAATTTGATCTCTCTATGTCCATCGCTGGTTTGAATTCGGTGGAAGCCATGGGAAGAAGTGTCTTTCTTTGGGCCTAAACATAATGCTGGCTGGAAACAAGTGATTGACGGAACGAAATTGCAACAGACGATCACCACTGTCTGTTCGTTGGTATAGGACTCCATAAATACTCTCAGATGACTCCCCAATTTGCTCAACTCAGCTTTCCTATTTGAGCGCTAAAATCCTATGGTATTATGACAACACCTGAACGTTTTGCTTTCTGTAGCAAAATTGACAGCTTTCATAGAATTCATCCTTTGCACCATTCAAGCTACATTGGGTGGGTTAGTAAGTAGGGATCATGAATGGGTACCGCATAGTCTCAAGATCCTTCCCAAGGTCTCTCCAATAAACTTACGATTAACTGTATTCATGTTTAGAGGTGATCTGTAAAGGCAAACAGATGGTGTGTCAATAAGGTCTCCAGTATCATCAATAATAGCTAACTGACTAATGCATTCAATGGGGACTAATGGAATAGCAAAATGTAGTACTCCTCTAAGAATTTGGCTGTGAAACGCAAACGATACATTTGTTATCATCTGACATAACAGTCTGTAAGAACCTTTCTATGCATAAATAATGAGTGCAAAAGTATTGCCAGTTAAATAGAACCTACCAAAACTAGCTTTTATTAACTTTATGGCGAAAAGATACCACAACAATAGATGAAAGATAAATATTTTTGGAAAATCAACCCATCCTGACATACCTAGATTGCTAACCGGTCCATCCCTTGACCACTGAAGGAACACCCACACTAAACGTACCAACAAAGCTAATTGTCTTGTTAAAACGGTGGATGATAAAAAAGAAGAGTTACTGTCAGTATGTTGCATTTTAGAAGTAAATAACTGTCCCAAAGATTTTACAATAATGTTCAAAAACGAAACAAAGGGTATACTGAAACCCTTTTCGAAGAACTGGATCAACGCTGTGATAATTCCATGACGTACGAAGGCCTTGAAAATAATAATAAGAAAACCCAGCAACTATGACATAAAAGTCTATTTTCGAATGAATAATAGCCTACATTCCGAGTTGATGAAAATCAAAGGCGTGGTAGAGAAAGAAAAAAACAAAACTGCGTTTACGAAATTAAATGCCCTAATTGTGACGCAGTATATGTGATAAAGGCAGGTCGGTAGGTAAATGTTAGGGTGAGGGAGCATAGGATATGTTCAAAGCAGATTCCGAAAATCTCAGCAGAGGTCAGGAAGCTAGATAACAAATAAGAACAAATAGAAATCCGTGCAAAACTTCGGGATTATTTCATTTCAAACACTCTATGTCTTGCACAAATATATACCGTATCTAATGTTTACTTTTAACTCAGCGCCCAATATTTTTGATACTATTAGGTCAAAGCTTGATCGCAGTTCGGGCAAATTGATTGCATCATTACGTTTTTATTGTCGGTCTACGTGGCCTCGAAACGTTTAGATACTATAAATTAAGATGTAACAATTGAATTATGTATTCTTCAGAAATGTTTGCTAGTATACTCGTTATGCATTTCACTTTAATATCCGTAGCAATCGTACTCCTTTTATTTCATGCTATATTTACTTTTCGGACTTACCTTCAAAGTATTTGAATCCATGAAGTAGTAGGGTTATCCACATCATCAAGTCATCCTGTCTCAGGAAACTAGTGAGGCTCTTCGTGTTATCTGATGACAGTTCGATGTTACTGAATGTGCTCGAGCTGATCGTTATCATAGTTAGTAGAATTTCTTTTGAAGTGTATGAAACAGAATGGTCGTGACTGATCAACCTAAAATAATTTTTACTATGTTGTATGGTGAAAACGTCACTAACTTTGAAGAGCGTAAAGAGAAGGAAAATTCCTCTCCATTAGTCAAAAAGCAAACCTTGTAAACAAATGGTAGCAGTAAACGGAAACTTCTACGAATCTTATCCTTTAAAACGTTTGAGATACAATTTCTGAAGTTTTCAAAATGGCCGTACGTTCCTCCGCAAATTTTATTGACTTCAGCAACCACGACATCCGAACATATGCCATAAGCGTACATCGCTGTCAATTCCATAACAGTATATATCACTTCAACAGTAGCATGTTTTGTGCTTGAATGCTATTTTAAAAATATTACACAATACAGAAACTTACGAGAACAGTGGTCATTACTACGGAGAAAAATATGTACGATAGAGTGAGTTCAATTTCAGGAAAGCATCCTGGGAGTTTCAGTTGAATCTTCTTCCAGGAATATAGGTAGCTGATAACATGAATTTCACCAAATTAATGGCCTACTTCTGTAAATGTTGCAATAAACTTAGCACCGTAGTTAATAAAAGAAAAGAAGGGAATTCGTTTCCTGCTTCTATCCTAAGTTTGCCTTCGTCATTAACCTCACTCAGTGCCTTTTTCACATTTTGACTACAGCTTTGCGAAAAACATCCAGCCGACTTTAAGAAGTTCCTCAGCTCTTCAAACGGCATATCGTTTGTTTGTCTTTCATACCTGCAAATAAAGACATTTGTTTTTCTTACTTGAAAATATTAGTAATACAAGTTATTCCCAAGATTCCTGTTTGCGTTTCACAGTTTTCTAAGATGCTTGTCATAACCAGCAACAGCTGTTTAAAAGTTGAAGGTGACATGAATAAGTCTACAGCACCATTGTAACTATTTCCAAATGGTTGACTGTATGTTGACTTACTATATGACAAAAGTATTTATAAGGTTAATGAGTCGTAAGATAACGTTACTCCTGTATTCTTGAGCTGAACTCAGGGTCGTGATAATTTGGAAAATTCCTTTTGTTTAGATCAGAATTAAGTATACTGAAAAAGTTCATTAACTTACCATGGGGTATAAAATTAGACGAAAAGAGTTCTGCATCTGGACCTATACTCTCCAAGCATTTTAAGATATTACTGTAAAATATGTAATTAAACTGAGCGTCTTACTTGCAGTAGGGTTTTTTTAAAGAAATATCATCGAACAAAAGTTCTAAAACATATTACATCAATCACACATACCAACAATTCCAGAATTACAAATTAATTTAGCTGCAATTTTACCAAATTCATGGAGCAGGAGTTCGATAAACTTGATGGTAGTTTCTTTAATAAGTTCATTGTGAGAGTTGAGAAGAGCCCGTAAAACAACCGGGAGTTCTTTGTACGTGCAAATGTCAGCAAAGCTTCGATTGCAAAGACAAAGTTTCATCAGGCAATCTACATGGGTGTAACCAAATAAATGATTTAACCTAGTCCTATCTCCACAACATTAATGTCCTTTTTGTGTAAGATGGTCCCCACAACTTTCTGAAAATATGGTTTTACTGACCTCAAGCACTTCCTTGGCAAATATGTCAGAAGGCAGTCAAGACAACACACGGTGGTGGCATTCAGAGAAGTGAACATAACCTTAAGTAGGACTAAAATGGGATCCATAACAGCGTCTAACTTAGGGTAAGGGATAAGAAAATACTTGTAAACTGCGGGTTTGAAACTGCCAAGTCATCCAATAAGGTGCAAAATAGTTTCAGGCTATAAGTGTACTCAAGGCCTTTGTCGAATAGCAGTATGATCTGCAAGTAACGTATTGCCAATGTGATTACCTGGTAATAAATGTACTTGAGGAATTTGATTTTCGTATTTGGACTGGTAAGGCAAAACAGATTTTGTAAAGCTTGAATATTTGGAAGGCTAATTATTCTACATACATATATTTACCTGACGCGACCCAGTAATTTCCAGGATGTATTTCTACGATAACAAGTAAGTCAGACATTACAGGCAGTCTTAAAATACCTAGTATTTTCAGTATTGCCTCTTCCAACACCGTGATGCTGCAAATGACAGATACACACTCAACTCTGGAACTCTCAAAACACCTCAGAAATTTCTTAATGAATTCATCACGGATGTCAGACTGAAGAGATCTATCAGAAATCACTGAAGTTAAACATTCCAGACAATTATGGCTGTAAAGATTGTTTGAAATATATTCCAAAGCTGATGATGTCTTAAATATGTGACTATCATGACTGTGTCTACAAGCCATCACGATAATACAACAAACCACTCGGTAATCCGCAGAATTATAATCCGGAAGCCCCCTGAGAGTTTCAAACAAAGTGGAAAAGTACTCCAATATCAAATACCTCTTTTATGAGCCAGTAAGAACCACTTGAAGACTTAGAACTCGTTTCTGGAGGTATTTTAACAGCTGCATGGATTCAGTTATCTTCGAAGCAGTATACTTAGACACTCTACTGCTGTAGCCCAAACAATGGAATCTAGTTAGACTTGTGGTGATACGCACGATTTGTTCAAATGTTATGAGGCTTCCAGAACTACTGGAACTACGGTTGCTAGATAGTCGGTAAAAATGGTCAATAAAAGATAGGGATAGGAAAATAACCAGAGGAGAGACAGAAAAGCAGGTAAATGAAATAAAACATCACCACATAAGGAAGACAAAAGGATAGAAAAGAAGTGAAAGCTATGATAAAAAAGTAGCTGAGGGGCTGAGACACCAAATACGGGGGGCAGTTGATTTTTTATAAAAGGTAGAAGAGACAGTCATCACTGCATTGATAGTAGCCATTAAAGGGGGTGGCGGAGAGGCGAAATAAAGGTGAGGGACAATTGCGATTTCAGATCACTCTTCCAGTAGAAACTGCATCTCGGCCACGTGTGTGTAGCCACTAATGGACAAATGAGTGGCAACAACTGCTGGTAGTGCATACCAGTGGTATACTGCGACAACTCTAGTTACTTGGAACGTTTTAAGCCATAATCTGGCAGCCACACATCCTGCACCCTCTGTGGGCTTGAAGGCTAAAATCCCTTCAGTCAATCTTCTCGCGACCTGTATTGCTGCCATATGATAGCCCTGGTGGCTGAAGCCTAGGTTGCTCCGGGAAATCCGCATCCATCATTCGATGGAGTGGTTGGTCTGTTTGTCAGCACCGGGGCCTGGCTTGGTTCGAGCTACCACACCTGATATCACAACATCAGGGAAGAAGACATCAAAACTGAGGATCAAGAAGTGTAGAAGAGATTACTCAAAACTGGTGGGGAGGCCTAGTTGTTGACACAAGTTTGTAGGCCATCATAAAATGAACTGACCGAAGTAGGAAACTTAGCACGGTGGTGCACCATGGTGGATGTTAGTTGGTTGCAGGTAAATGGTAAAACTAAGGGGGTCAAAAATCTTGAGGATGAAGTGTGGATATATCTGCGCTACCTTGATTGATTTTGAGCTACACCACCATATCTGTAACCACCAAGACATGCTGTCAAATGGACCGCAACAAAAAACTCTAGGTATACTTACACTGCCTAGAATAACGGTCAAAGACTTCACGAACTGACGCGAGTATTTACGAAGTCCTATGCCACCTAACTGAAAACGGTGATCGTTTGGTGCAGTTTCTTTCCGTCAATCGCTTGGTTCCAGCCAGCACTATGTTTACGTGTAGTTTGTATTCTCAACCCCCCTGGACATGTTAACGCTTTTGCAAATGAAATCGGGGATTGGTCGTCTAATTTATATGACGTACTGTTGTGATGCCCCATTCTTGTATAAAACGTTGTTATTGATCTGAACATTTTAACGTGTCATTCCCACATTATTTTTACAGTATGACTAATAGTCTATTTTCCGCCTCCATTGTAATGTAATTCGCTGACTGGTTAACTCTTACTCTTACTACGCGAATTTCTCCAATTGCGGACAAGGTCATTTTCCATGTGTATACTTATTCACGTGTTTTGGATTGATTCACTGTTATTATATTCTCAGAGTAATACACTCTCCCATCATTCAGCTTTGGTCTTTTCTCTATTCGTCCCGGGGTTGCAGTCAGTGTCTCTTGCGTACGAAGCTAGCCGTCAGCTAAGCGCGCGTATTATGTTCGTTCCGGAAAATATACATATACCACTGGCTTTCGAAACCATAACACGTACGTCTGGCAATAATATCACCTGATCCCTCTTAGCGTGGGAGCACGTTGTATACCCGGATTTTTACTGTAAGTGGCTGTGCCAACGTCTGCATATTGCTGTCGGAGTTCTTCAACAACTAAAACTTTGGTACTTTTCCAGTCTTGTGGAAGAAAAGGAACATTCCCCGCGCCTTGACGAACTTTAAAGACCCGGCCCCGACAATTTCCGCCCTAACAGCATATCGTTCGCCCTTCAACGTGGCCTTGGAAAGATATTTTAAAATGCATTCTCTTACGTTTCAGAACATGAGCTTATGAGCTCCAAATAGTATGGCTTTCCATCCAAGATGTTTTGGAGCACGCGCCACTCAAAGTTCTACGGTCACGTATTATGTATATAGAGAGAAAGTTTTGTCCCACTTTGCCCCGATTTCACTAAAACTTTTGAAAAAGCGCATCACCCTCCACTTTATCACTAACCCACTTCCTTTGGGATAATCGGCAGGTTGCATGAGTGCGCCGGCCAACTTCTGGAGGATCACATCCAAGTTGTCAAAAAAGGCCCAGCTTTTTCCCCTCTGAGGGATATCACCAGCGAAGCAAACCCGATCTCCGTACTTCCAGCCTTTCTCTTTATAATGTATATGCACGATATACGCGCCTGTTTCAGATCGAAGAAGACCTTCCTCTGCGCGAACGACTTGGAATTAGTGTACAGCTTCCATCTGTATCAGCTCGGTGGTATCAGTACTTAAGTGCGAAGTGACCTCCATAAGCAGCGCAAATGATGTGACGCGCAGATGCTACCAGTGAATATGCAGAAGTCTGACTTTGTGCCGCACGGCGAACAGTGTTCCATCTAGTCGTCGACTCGATAACCTCGCTCCGCAGCAGCCGAGTAGCATTCGCGGACTTGAAGCAAGGTTATGCCGTGACTTTTCCTTCACAGAAAAAGCAGCGTCACATTGCTGATGAGAGGAGGCATAATAGACATACATGTTGTCTGATGTGTGAAACATACAAAGAAACAATATAGCCAGTATTATATGTACAGTCTCAGTGGGCTGAAAATGTTCTTTAGCCTTCAACTTCATTTTGAAAAATTAAATTCAACGGATTATTTATTTTGAACAATGAACTACAAGAACACACACCATTTTCATAGGCTATATATAACCCTTTTCGGTGGAGCTGATAAAATTAAAAAAAGGAAATCGTCGCACCATATATGATTTTCTGGAGTATGTAACTCTTTGGACATCAACGGTGAGAGAGAGAGGGTCAATGCAAGCATCATCACTAAGTGCGGGGAGTAACCTGGTAATAGTGATTAGTCCTAATCTCTCCTGAGCTTACATTTTTGAACACAAACCACTTAATACCAAAATTTCCAGGTGAATTCGCGAGTGGAGCCAGTAATTTTGGGTGAAGTGACGAAATAATCGTTATTCAGTAAACACATCCTGAATATGTCTACCAGAAAGAAAAAGAAACAGAGATGTAGGCGAATGCGGAGTGATTCGCGATGTGCTTAATTCAGTGGGTATTAAAATATGAACAACAGAGGGAATAGAAGGGACCCAGAAGCAGACGCCAGGGTAGTTGCACAAAAAACATTTGATGAATGGTTAAGGATGATGATACAGTGGTCAGTGACCTTCAGCTGTGCAGTCAAAGTTGGAAGGCAGGGGATTCGATTCAGAGAAATGCTAGATGGTGACGTGTTGACCATGAAGATTGCTGGCTATCCAGTGGTGGTCAAGCACGTTAACTAACCCCATCCTGAACGGGTTCAGTCGCGGCCCAAGGAGCTGTCTTTTGTGTCTTGGTAGACCCAAAGCATAAATATGGTGTCCCACTGAAACTACTTATCCTAATAGCGCAGCAAATTAGTTGACATATCTAGGTGATAATTCAAGAGATAGGGAATCACTAAACGCTATGAATACGCTTCGGAATAAGGATACAATTTTCAGACGAAAAAGTGAAGCAATGGTAAACTCAGTACGTAAAATGAGGGATTTGATGCGGAGACGTTTGCGAGAGATACCAGAAACAGGCTGATTCCAGTAATACAGCTAACTGTGTTCCCATACCTTTTGAAGCCAGGTAGGAATACCATTCACCAGACGATATCCATCCTTCGACGATAATGGAGGTGACACAGAAGAGGGGAAACTGACGGATAAACAGAGTTATCGTCTCAAATCAAGAGTCTTTTATTAGAAACCTGCCTATAATTATTCCCGAGTCACAGTCACTTTCACTGTCTTGTGGATGCAAACACCCTGCATAGCCATATCTTAGGGCTAATTTTTCAGGTCGTCTATCTGCAGCCAGAGTGTAGATATCGTCCGAATCCAAAAGCAAGTTGACAGGGCGCCTAAAATGTCACGCAGAAGCATTGCTACATAAGGATGCGGGTAGTCTATTCCAGATAAAGCCGGAGTGTGTAGTGAAGAATTTGAACCGACCTGTTGACTGCATCTTTCAATAGTAAACACGGACGTATGATTTCTGAGGTCATGTTGCGGTGAATATTTCCGAGCTGGTGGTAAGGGACAGTGTGGCAGACCATGCAGAATTTTTGCATCAGAACCAAGTAATTTCCGAGATGACGTTTCCATATAAGTTCAATTGGTAGCATGGTGCACCTTTGTAGTTGGCCTAAGTTGCCGTTGCTACCCAATAATCAGGTAGCGAAACTTCTTTGCGGATACTCAAGTTTTGGTTTCTCAATACTTTCCGTGCTAGAAGAAACTGATGGACCATATTCCAATGTAGGTCCAGTGCAACTTCAAAGAGAGTGAATCTGGCCCCTTTTGTATAGAAGCTCTTCAAGAGTAGGCCTGGTAATCCTCTTGCCGATATGATGAAGGCTGAGGCATGCCCAGCGAATTCAAGGATACTAGAATACTGGACAGTCAAGTGGCATGCTATATTGCATGTCTGAATTTCATGACCTCCCAGGCGAGGCGTGATGCTATGACAAGGTACAAGGGCCCATATTTTCCAAGACTTAATGCAAGTTTCAACTTCCCAATCCAGCCAGACGGATTAGTTAAATCGGCCGGAGACGCTGACGAACCCTTAACCGATGCACTAAAAGATGTGAGGAGCCTCAGGGTGGTCTGCATAAAGATGTGATTAGCGTACCTGCCACTTTACATATGTCGTTACTATAGATAAAAGGAACTGGACCGATGCGACTGGAAGATGGTAACAAAGGATTATAATGTGATGCGATGCGATACCTGGACTGGAACGAAATGCGGCTTTTCTCCCCCTGACCCAGTACCTCACTTA